GTGAGGCGGCTGCGCTCTCCGGGACTTCTGGTTCACCCCGGAAGCTATTTTGCGACCACACAGGAAGTCCCGCCCCTGGGCGCCGGTCCCGGCGTGGGTGGCTGAGCCGGGTGATCCCTGAGAGTGCTGTGTACTCATCGAGGGCCATTCTTCCCCTTGTTTACTCCTGGTCAGTCAATGAAGTAGTCATTAAACACCTATTATGATCGTCCAGGCGCTGTCGTTTCAGCAGCGTGAACAAAGTGAAACCTGGAGCTTAAATTCTTGTAATGGAGACATGCGGCCAGAGAAAGATGTGTGGAGCGCTCAACGGAGAGAGAAAACAGGCCCCGAATGGCGGGCAGGGCTATTCTAACAGATAGGCCCGGAATACCTCTCTGAAGGGGCGTTGTTTGAGCAAAATATCAAGAAAGTGAGACGACGTCCTATGTAAATTCCAGGAAGGAGCAATGTGGGCCTCGAGGGAGCTGAGACGGAGAGCATTGTGGCCGGGAGGGCGCAGAACAGGAGACGGTCCAGTACGTGTAGTGATTCTCAAAATGGGGTCCCCTGGCTGCCTCAACACACGGAAACCAGTTGAAACTGACTAGAAAGGCACAAATGCAAAATACCGAATCATGAAATTCCGCAGGTGGGCGCAACAACTTTGCCCTCCAGAAGATTCGGATGCTCAAGTTTGAGAACCGCCGTTGTGGAGCCTTGTAGGACATGGCAAGAACTTTGGGTTTTGTGATGAAATGGGAAGCTATGAGTTTTGAGCAGAGAAATGATGATGCGATTTAATATTAGAGGATCACTCTGCGTTAGCAACTGGGTGGAAGATGGACTTTACGAGGTCAAGGGCAGCTGCTGTAGCACTCCAGCTGAGAAATCGCAGGCTTTACTAGGGTGGTGGGGGTCAGGGTGATGAATAGTGGTTCTGTTGTGAATATATTTGAAAGATAGCGCAAAATTTGCTGACTGGCTAGACGTGCAGGGTGAGAGAGGAGTGAAGGATAACTCCAAGATTTTTGACTGGAGCAACTGCAGAAAGGATGTACAGCTGTGCAGGTATGGATTTGAAGGGTGGTTTGGGACGTACTGAATGTGAGTGGCTTTATTAGTCTGCTTGAGTGGCATAACAAAACACCACAGACTCTGAGACTTAACAGAAACTTATTTTCTCACAATTTGGGAGGCTGGAAGGCTAAGGTCCTGCTCTTTTCCTGGCTGGCAGGTGGCCACCTTCTTGATATGTCCTCACATGGAATTGAAGGAAGGGCAAGTTCTCTGATGTCTTCCTCTTCCCATAAGGGCACCAGCTTTGTCAGATCAGGGCCCCACCCTCATGACATTTAACTCATCACCTCTTCACAGGCTCTGTCTCCATATACAGTCATGTTGGGGGTTAGGGCTTGAACATCCGAATTTTGGAGAGGATGCAATTCAATCCATAGAAGTAGCCTATTAGACAATTGAATGAACTGTCAAGCAGGCAGCTGGATAAAAGTGAAGTTCAGGGACCTAGAAATATAAGTTTGGGAATTGCCATCATATCTGCAGTGTGGAAACGGTAGAACAGATTGCAGCTACCTAGGGAACGAAGGTAGGTAAAGAAAACATCTGGAAACATTTTACCGTGAAGAGGCTGGAGATGCACCAGCTGAAGAATAGTCAGTGAGGTGGGAAAATTGGGAGTTCTGAAGTCCTGCTTTCATTCATTATTTCATTTCAAGATCGAGGAGGTGATGGGCTGTGTTGGATGCTGCTGATCAGCGGAGCAAGTTGAAGCTAAGGCTCAGCCACAGAATATGCAATGTAGAGATCGCATCTCAGCTAAATGCCCTTCAGAAAGTTGAGGCTTTGCTGTTCCCTACTCTGAGTGAATTTCACTTCCTCAAGGAGCAGAGGAAGGTGGGGGAGGTCAGTACCTCCATTAGAAAAAAAGAAGTGGAGGAACCACACCTTTAAAACTGACTTCTGCATTTTTATGTTTTCCCTCTGATTAAAGCAACACATGCCATCTGAGAATCTTGGAAAACGAGAAAATCATAGTGAAGGCTATTATGTACATCACACATAACACCACCCCTAGTTATCTACATTTTGGTTTCTTTTCTTCCAGGCTTTTTTTTCTATGAGTAGGTATTTTTACACCAAGAGATTTTCCTTGGACATGTAATTTTATATCCTCCTAACAAGCTTTGTTCACCTGTCACTAAAATGAATGTTCAGTGACTATTGAATTTTTCTATTTTATGGTAATACAATTTATTTAGCCAAGCCCTAATTTGGGGGCATTGAACTAGTTCCAGGTTATCCTATTATAAATAGCTCTGTAATGAGTATCGTTGGATATAAATCTTTTATTTGGGGGGAGGAGGTAATTAGGTTTGTTTGTTTGTGTTTTTAGAAGAGGGACTGGAGACTGAACCTAGGACCTTGTACATGCTAGGCATGCACGCCAAAACTTGATCTATACCCTCCCCTGGATATAAATCTTAAACAGCATCTTCAATTGTTTTTTTAAGGCAAATTCTGAGAAATAGAAATTATGGCTTTAAACATACGGCCTTTGTTTAAGTTCTAACTGCCAAAACTGGTTAATTTTACTGAAGGAGTTGATGAGGAAGAACAGCTAATCTGACGTTTTCATAATTAGGATATTTTTGTGAACTGGTATTTGACAAGAATACCACTGAATATTCTTGGGAAAGGATAATCTTTAATAAACTTTGTTGGGCAAACTGGGTAACCACATGCAGAAGAATGAAATTGGACCCCTATCCTATACCACTCCAAAAAATTAACTCAAAGTGGATTAAAGACTTAACTGTAAGATCTGAAACTATAAAACTCTTAGGAGAAAAAAAAAGGAAAAGCCTCCTTGACATTGGTCTTGGCAACAATGTTTTGGATATGACACCAAAAGCACAAACAACAAAGGCAGAAATAAATAAATGGGACTACAACAAACTAAATCGCTTCTGTGCAGTGGGGAGGGTATAGCTCAGTAGTAGAGTGTGTGCTTAGCATGCGTGAGGTCCTGGGTTCAATCCCCAGTACCTCTATTTAAATAAACCTAATATCCTCCCACCAAGAAAAAAGCAGGAAAAAAAATTTAAAAGCTTCTGTGCAGCAAAGGAAACAACAGCAAAATAAAAAGGCAACCTACAGAACTGGAAAAATATTTGTAAACCTGATAAGGGCTTAATATCCAAAATATATAGAGAACTCATCTCACTCAATACAAAACAAATTTTAAAGTGGGCAGAGGATCTGAAAAGACATTTTTCCAAAGAAGACATACAAATGGCCAACAGATACGTGAAAAGATGCTTAACATGATTCATCAAGGAAATGCAAATCCAAACCTCAATGAGATGTCAGCTCACACTTGTTAGGACAGCTGTCATCAAAAAGACAAGATAACAAATGCTGGTGAAGATGGGGAGGGAAGGGATCCTTTGTGCACTGTTGTTGGGAATGTAAGATGATGCAGCCACTGTGGAACACAGTATAGGTTCCTTAAAAAATTAAAACCAGAACTACTATATCATCCAGCAGTCCTACTTCTGGGTGTATTTCCAAAGGAAATGAAAGTAGGGTCTACGTCTGCACTCCATATTCATTGTAGCATTTTTCACTGTAGCAAAGCTATGGACCTAAGTGTCTGTCAATGGATGGATGGAAAAAGAATATGTGGTTTATGTATACAATGGAGTATTATTCAGCCATGAGAAAGGAGATCCTGCCATTTGTGACAACACGAATGACTTTGAGGGCAGTGTGCTAAGTGAAGTCAGTCTGGCAGAGAATGACAAATACTGTATGATGTTACTCATATGTAGAATCTAAAAAACCTGGCTTCACAGGTTCACAGATGGAAAAGAATTTTGCTCCAGCATGAATCATACCTCTTACCCATAACTGATTTGTATAATTTAGAAGATGAGATTTGAGTTGATAAAGTTTAGATGAGATGTTGGACCTAGTCTTATGCTAGAACGATTAAGACTTTGAGGGAAATTGGGATGGGGTGAAAGTACTTTGCACGTGGGAAAAATTACAAATTTTTAGAGGCCATAGGGCAGACTGTAATGGGTTTATGTTCCCCACACAAAGACATTTTGAAGTCCTAACCTCCAGTACTTCAGAATGTGAGCTTGTTTGTAAATACAGACTTTACAGAGGTCATCAAGTTAAAATGAGGTCATTAGGGTGGGCCCTAATCCAGTATGTCTGGGAAACACATAGAGCGAGACCACATGAAGACAGGAAGCAGAAACTGGAGGTAAAGCTGCATGCCAGGGAGTGCCTGGGACTACCAGGAGCCAGGAAGAGGCAAGGACGGATTAACCTGCAGGTTTCAGAGGGCACCTGGCCCCGCTGACATCATTTTGGACTTACAGCCTTCAGAGCTGAGACAATAAATCTGTGTTACAAGCTACCTAGTTTGTGGTACTTTGTTGTAATAGCCCCCATTGTTGGACATGTAGAATGTTAATTTTGAGCCTTTATGGGTACATTTTAGCACATCTGCAATCACATTCCTACACACAAAATTGGTGGGTCATAGGATATACAAGATTCTGGGTTGTTTTTGTTTTTTTTTTGACATGGTTTGTGTTAAAGAAGGTTTATTGTTAGCTTTATTGCCTATAGTCTATAAGATGCAACTTTATTGTGTCTTTGAAGGCCCTGAGGGTTTTGACTTGCGACTAAGTTGCCCTCTACACGAAGGTATTAACTACATGATCTCCAATTCTGTGGGAACACCCACTCCTTACCCTCTGACAGTAGGCTTTGTTTTAATCACTGTTAATTTCTGATTCGGGTCATCAGAGTGTCCAGAGAAATATGCCAGAGCATGTTGGGTAGAACACTGCAGACTTGTATCCTGGGAAGACGTAGCTGTAATGTTTCTAGGTTGCTGTTACTCGTCTAGAAAGCGATCAACTCGGGCAAAGGAGGGACAACTGGGAAGGCACTGTGTCTAAGAACAGATCTGGACAAAGTGATCACAGTGGAAATAAATATCAGCTTTATTAACACTCAAAGTGCCATTCATTTATATTCATTCCATAGTCCAGAAGGTTACTTAGAGTAAGCCTTTGCACCACAATCTTTCAAAAAATGAACTAACATGTAAGAAAAAGCAATTTTCATTGTGCTAATTATTGCAGGCCTTCATGCACGATAAATCTAAACAAAGATGTGTGCCAACAATATACAAATTTCCATATAAACAAAGTCATTGATCACTAACAAAATATAAACATGGTTTCTTTCACATTAGATTTAAAAAAAAAAGCTATTTACCAGCAAGAAAAAAACTAAGTACATAAAAACTGTAAAACTCAGAAATTCTTTACATTTTTACAAGCACAATTTTGAATGAACACAAAGTCAAAATGTGCATGAAATGTGGCACATACCACACTGTATCTGGCTTCTGTAGGTTTTTCTAATCATACCGGCTCCTTGTAACATAATAAGCTTAGTGACATTCAACTTCAACAGTGGACTTATTCCTAACATGAGTCATTTTACATGGTACCGCATATCAAAAAAAAAGGTTTTCCTTAAGCACGATAACACTGTCAAATTGGAAATTTAATTCCCAATTCTTTTTCTGCCAGTTACTTAAAATACACAGTACAGTACAAAGACACAATGTATGTTTGAACATTTCTAAATCAATTAAGAGTCCATTACAGAGACTCATAACATGTCAATGTATTGTTTTATAAATGAGGTGTGACCTTGCCCAGTAAGAGAAAAACAAAAACTTGCAATCTTTGGGGTAGAATAAAAGAAATATTAAAAACAACAGTAGGACAGGCCAACAGCAACTGGAGATATAAAAATCTTGACATCTCTTCAAGACAATTTAGCTTCTCACATTTTTTCATAGTTCTGAGAATTCAAAGGCTGTTAGAGTGGACAGTGTTTTTGCTACTGCTTAAAACCTATTTTTTTCCTTTTAACTTGCATTTCATAGAACTCCCAAAGAGAATTCAATGTTCTCCCTTGCAAGAGTATTTTAATTGATATCTAAGTAAATCTGCATCCAATTGTGGAAATACAAATACATTTTGAATGGTTAAAAACAAAATTAAAAAAATATTTTTGATCAGCCAGCTGAAAATATATTCATATAGTAAATAATCTCTCAGAAAGCTTTATATATATTTAATTATTCTAACTAAACAGTACCCTTATAAAACAAGTTCATAAAAATGTAGAAATGAAAATAAGAAATTACTGGGATATATACATGTGCCTACAGACAGAAAAAGACATTTCCACACACACACGTCCCCTGATACAGAGTTACAAGCATACTTTCAACTGAGTCATGGGTTCCAGAATACATATAAAATCAGAAAGTGATGTTGAACTCCTGAGTTCTTCAACAAAGATAGAACCATAGAGAAGTGTACTTTGTAAAAGCAAGAAAGTTCATTGAAGTCAGTAATAGCAGTGCAGTTACTGATGGCTACATCTTGAAAGAAGTTTAAACGTGGAGACACAGACAGTAGTTCAATGCACGCATTCATGATGCTCACACACCCATCAACAATTATTGGTCAGAGTAGTAGATCAGTGTACAAATTAAACATTTCCAAAAATGTGCAAAAAAGTCAACCTTGATAGGAAAAAAACACCTCTGTACATAATTATAAACTGCCCAGCATTCAACTGAGATTAAGAACGTTTACAGAGAGGAACTAATAGATTAAATATAGAGAATTTAATGGTTACACTGTAAAATGTACATTAGGTCAAAGGGTAAATTTACAAATTGATAACCGTAGTTTGCAACAATTAAAAGTTTATTCTCAGATTTATCCAAGTCTACTTTTATTTACAATGATATTTGAATAAAAAGAACCACGTGAAATGTAAGAGATGTCAGACATTAAAAGTATTTTTGGTATTAACTCTTTTATAATATTTCGGAACGCAGGGTAGCAAATTTTAAAACCAACAGCAATAGAAAAAATGTAAACCTTTAACTTACTAATTAAGATTGTATTAAAAACAAGTGTTTGTTTTGAAAGAAGTACTCTTATCCTTAGACACTGTACTTTCACCGGAATGGGGCAGACTGCAAACGTTTGCCCGGCTTCCTTTTGCCTGTAAGCCTTTCCAGCTCAAATGTTTCCACCAGTTCTCTCTCCTTATTCCAGGTGGGAAAAAGGTCTTTGGGAAAAACTGAGAACATAGACAAATACATTTTGGAGCCTATGTATCGAATAAGAGTTTAGATGGAATTTCGTTACTTATCTCTCTCCTCCAAGTAATGCTAATGCTGAAATCACCAATTTAGTTACATGAAGAGTGAACACAAAAATGCTTTCCAGTATAGTCACCAACTTTACTGTCCTCAACTGACATGAAGGGACTCAGAAATGCTATTTGGGGACAAATTCTGCAATGTGTGCTGGCGAGCAGACTTCCTTTCGTTCCAAAATGTCTATGGCACAGAAAGTCCATAATCCACTTTTCTTCAAAGCTTTGCTGAAATGCCCCGCAGGTCAAACGCAAGTTTATCAATGTTAAGACACTAGGAGGAAAGTACGCCACCAGCCTGAGGCATCACATGTTAATGTACATGTATATACATCTATGGTCAAGTGACGTTAATAAGATTGGCACGCGGACAAGCTCAAGTTCGTAATGTCTATACAGTTCCATGATAGTTGAAGTAAATTCTGTGTGTCTAGATGCAAACACAGAGCACCTGTCCTTTAACTTGGAAGCTAGACTGAGATACAAATCCTGCTAGTACCTGCTTTGTCATTTTTATACTGTTAGCTTACAGGTGGGCAGAAGTAACAGTGCTAATCATTTTGGCTGTGTGGAGGGAATAAAAAAGCTTTGGTTTACAGTGATTCTGTAACACAGATTGTAAATACAAACAAGAAGTCACCAGGCAGAGGGGGAATAGCGGTACTCACTGATTTAATGCCTTTGCTGTTACTAACAAAAGGTCATATTACTGTCAATTAAAATGCACAATTATGAAAAATACTAAGAAGTACATGAGACACTGTATACGGGCAACAGATAAAATTTATTCTCTTCTTTACTATAGCTATGACTCCTCCCTCAACTTTCTGAAACTAAACCATGTCTGCTCTCACTATAACCGAGAGAAGATTCTCTAGCCACACCCTGAGAGCTCACTGCCCTCCACGGCTCTGAAAGATGGTTGGCCCTGACACTTCCATACCTACGATGGCATCCTGTCCAGACTGAGGCAGAAGGCAGAGCAAAGCTAAAGACAACTATGAAGTAGGAACAGTGGCTTCACAGCACATCTTCCCTAGCCAACCAAAAAGAGGTATAAAACAATTTCCTTTTTAACAGTTGGTAAGCTAAGGAAGCTTGTTTTGATAATGTCTGGCAGAATTTCTATTCCAAAGAGCTCATGAAGAACTATGCAAAACCAAGTACTTTCTATTTAAGAATTATACATAAGATATCATACACACATACACGTTCAATTTTAATCTACTTTTAGCAACCAAGAGCTTGGCAATTTACAATAAATATCTTTATTAGACAATCACTTGTACCAGCTACTTGTGGAAAAGGTGCTGGCACTCCTCCCCGAGGAGGGCACACTCATCCATCACTAGGTCATACACATTTGAGCTGTTCTTCCCAGAACAGAGACTACTCTAATTGGACATTCATACTTTTCCTTCCTCCCCACCCCTGTCCCAGCTACACACACACACACAGCATGCACACTTCACAGAAAAGCTAGAGATTTAGCCAAAATGTTCATTTAAAAGTAAGGATTAGAATTCACTGTCCCTGGATTTCTTGCTCATTGCCCTAAGTTTCATTGCCTTAACATTTGTAAGCCATTTAAACGACCTCTTTCGGGCAAAAACCACCATTCTAGATCTGCTTTGAAAATCATAACTGAACCATGATATACGTAGAACTTGAACACTGCCAATGTGATAGAAAACCAAGTAATCAACCTGGAAAACAATTTACTGTCTCTTTAGAATTAGAATACCTCTTTCTATCCTTATCTTAGGAATTTATGTCTAGTAAAGACTGCAGTGTGTCTATCATAGACTAATGTTTTTCTTCTAACATATTAAAAAAAAAAAGAGGTAGAAAAGGGTAGGAGGAGGAAGCAGGCATGAAGAAATGTTTAAGGGCCAATACACAGTCTAAGGCCAAATGAACTCTTGAAGCCTACTGATTTTGGAAAAACCTTCATTTCGGTGGGTAACTTCAATTATTATTGATATAAAACAAAATTAAGGCATACAGGGAAAAAGGCACTACCAAAAATGAACAAATTGCTTTTCATTAACATTTTAACCAATCTTAAAATTCAAATGAATATGAACATTACATTTGTTAACAAAGGCCAAATTTCATATAAAACAATAGGTCTCGAGAAATTTTCCTGATCTTTGTATAAGTAACACTGTTGACAGAATTCAATTTCTATCAAATGTTTTGGTATTTTAACCACTTAGATCAAAAGAATTTTTTTTCCTTTAAAAGAAAAAGCAAGGAAAAAATAACTACATTGTGGAATCAATGCCCCGCACCACTGGAACTGTCTGAGCAGAGGCTGAGAGAGGGAGTCCTGAGAGAGAGGCTGCCTGCCCTATGGGGATCCCTCCAACTGGGGGATACTTGAGTCTCGGTTATTAATGACATTTTAGTATTTATAACAGCCAACGACTACCCAAAATTGCTTTCCCCTCACTTCAAAAGAAATAAGAACATTTTAAAACATCATTGCTGAACTTTCAGTTAGGATATGCCATAAAAACAAGTAACTATCTGTCTGCCCATGTTTCCTCCTAGACTGTGACCTCCTTAAAGAGAAGTTAATTTAGTACCTGACATCATAAGCCACAATATTTAGTACCTGACATAATAAGCCACAATATTAGGTAAGCAAATGGAAAACATTCACCCTATCTTTTTTAAATCAATAGATTCTGATACTTATTGACACCAGGTGAGTTTGTATCAAGCTACTGGTCCCTAAACCCCAAATGAAATCACTGGCACAGAACTCTGCTGTGGGCCAAGGAGTCTGCATCTGGCAAACCTCTTGGCTTTTGCACCCAAGCCTGGTCGTCCCTATAAACTACTCAGATTTGATTTTTTTTTTTTTTTTTTTGGTGATTGCACGTCTCTCATAACAACTCCATCTCAGAAATACCACAGACCAGACCTGACATGTGTAAGAGCTGAAGTAGCAGAGAAAGCTACTCTAAAGAAATCATTTCACCTTTTTACTGTAGTCTCTACTGGGAATAAGACAGAGACTCTCTCAAGTAAAAGCCAATTCAATTTACTATGAAATAAGCTGTAATTTTTCTTTTACCATTCAGCCTGTGCATTAACATTTCAATCTTATATAAATTATGTAAGGTTGACTGTGCCTTTGAAAACTTTCTAAGGCAGTAGTCTTTAACCATTTTTCAGGTTAGAAACATATTTTGTAAATGAGGAAAACTGAAAAATTTTCAAGATAGTCATACAGAAAATTTTAAAGTCTGTATACTTTTATATATGTTTTAGAGAATTACCAACCATCACAATTTCCATTAGTCATTATGGTATTCTTCAACCCTTTTACTCAACACCCTTTGTTTGCAATGTAAAAGATCTTATATTTGGTCCAAGCCTAAGTCATGCTGTTCTGAAACTCTCAAGGCCTAAGTAGAAAGATATTTCCTGAAAAGCACATACAAAGACTGCTAGTGAATCTTCTCCAGCACCAAAAAGTCTGCCACTGTCAAAGCAGAGCGCATTTTAAAGGCACAAAGTCAGCAGCCTGGCCATTTTCCAGCCTCAGCAAAGAAACATTACAGTATAGAAGAATCAGTTGTGCATTTAAAAAACAAAATTTACATTTAGAGTCATCTCAAAAAGTTCAAATTTCATTTGTTGATCCATACCACTATTAGAAGGAAAAATTTGGAGTGTTGTATTTAACTGCCACTGATAGAGGTGTTTCCTTTCAAAATTTTCTTTTTTAAATTTACTTTTGGTCTTCCATACCTCACCCCACATTAAGCTTTTTTGTTCTAGTATTTCTTATATATATTAACTTTTATTGTGGTTTTTGGTACCTTTACATCTTGTCTGAACTAAATTCACATCACATTTTATAAACTCTGTAAACTATTAGTCTATTTTTAAGTCTTTACATAAAGAAGAATACTTTCCCACAGCTAATAATATTTTTCTTATAAAACAAAGGTCTTCTGCAGCAGTGTTAAGGTAGTAGTTTCTTTTCAGGTGATTTTATTTTCTATAGCATTTTGAAAAGAAAAAAAAAAAGAGACTGAAAAAAGCAAACAATTTTGCTTCGGGTTTCACAGTCTCCCGAGATTTCTCTCTGAAGAACACGCATGTCATATCCTACACTGCTGATTACCCTGACAGACCAAAAATGAGCCAAAAGGAAATCACAACCACACAACACAAAGAGACAAAGGAAAAGCCCACTGGTCCAGATACCATGATCTTGCTCAAGTAGAAGAGATGCTTTCACTCACAGAAGATAAAGAACTTATAATAGATCCACATCCTTGGGGACTATGTCTACAGCACAAGGCTTGGCAGCTGATGCTCCAGGGGGAGGATGCCACTGATTCATGGTCTTCCTTGCAAGCTGCTTCCCTTCGTCGTAAGGGTATGGCAGAAGGTTCAACAACTACATTGTGCTTTGACTTCTTCTCACACTAGCCAGTGGAATTTCAAATATTCCTACAGGGAATGCCAGATAGGACCTTGATACGGGAAACCAAGATCTACCTAACTTCAGAAACAAAGTACCTTAAAAGAGTTCCTAAATAAGCACATCTTTTAGCAGAAAATAAAATACCCGAGTCCCCTACGAATCCCATAAAAAGCATCACATTTAGGGCCTCCAGGAAGAATACTATATTCTAGAACTTTAAAAACAAAGTACTCAGCACTTGCTTTAATATGTTGGAAAAAACTGCAAGTGGCCAAATTCTGGTATCAATCACGTTTTTCAACAGCACAAGTCCATTGGAGACAGTGCGAGCTTCCCAGCTGCCTCTCTCTGCTTGTGGCCTTGCTCTTGGTGGATGCATTATACCAGGAACTCCTGGTAGTTTTTAACCTTCCTATAAAGTAGTTAATACTTTGTTTTGATATGCTTTTCTTTTCCCACAATTATGAATTAACTTTTAAGGAAAGCATATGTACAGACGGCTGAGTTCAGTAGGCTCTGTGTTTATGTTCATTTTGTTTCTAAGATAGAAGTCACCAATTTAGTCGTAAGGAAAGGATTGCTGTTGCTGAGATCATTCGTCCTTGACTTCAAGTAGTGGTACCTGCTCCTGTAAAACCCTTGTTACATGTCGTATCACTTTCTCTCTAAAAATTACTTTTTGCAAGGAAATTGCTTTGAAAATGGCTGTTCTCAGTTTATAACTGGGGCTGGTATTTCCATCAGGGTTTCTCAACTTCGACACTTTTAGCAGCTGGGGCAGGATAATTCTTCACTCGGGGTGGGGGTGCTGTCCTGTGCAGTGCAGTCTGTTTAGCAGCATGCCCAGCCTCTACCTACTAGATGCTTCTAGCATCTTGTGACAACCACAAATGTCTCCAGGCACTGCCAAAGGCTAAGCAAAATCATCCCCACCCTGCTGTTGAAAACCACCGTTTCACACGGTAACTGCTTTCCAAGGTGCTTCAATATTCTGTGATCCCAAGAACAAGGGTTTTATCTCATGACACAGGCTTTAACACATGGCTACTGTGGATCAAACTCTCAGTGCCTAAAGTATGTTATCTGTGGGGAATCCGGAGCTTAGAACTAGGAAGATACACATGATTCTGGTCATTTCTCCTTTCTCTTAATTTTCAGACCTTCCCCCTCAGGTACAGAACATAGTTTAAAATATACTAAACAAGACTTCTTTTCACTATTTCATGATTTCTGGTGATTGGCAAATGTGGTCTACTGCTCACACATTTAACTAGAGCAATCTCCTTTCGTCTTTTAATTTGGATTTGCTTATTGACTTCCCGTATCTGCTCTAAAATAAAACAGTATCTTTTTTTTAAAGCAGAAAGCTATCCCTCAAGGTTTACAGATTCCAGTAACTTGGATCTATTATAGTGTATCTGCTTATTATACTGGTTAGGATTAACAAACATACCTCTTAGAGAGTCATATTTTCTATCAAGATTCCTACTGAGCAAAAAGCTTGGTAGACAGAGGTTAGGATCTAAAGAACACAGATCTAAGAAGGAACCTATATTCTTTAAGTTGAGTGCCTACCCTAAACGCAAGTTTAGGCTCGACCTCACAAATGAGACCCTATTTCAAATACTATCACTAAAAACTACAAATTATACATCATTTTCTTCTCCTTGTTGTCTGTGTCTCCCCATCACCATCCATCTGTCAGTGACACAGGGAAAGACTCTACAATCTTTAGGCATTCCAAATGATTTTTTGTACTAAAAAGAGTGACTATGTACTAAAGTGCTTTATCTCTCTGAACCACATCAGTACATTATAAAAATTAAAAAAAAGTTTCAAGTTCTTGTAAGGGAAAAAAAGGATTAAATATAAAAAATTTAGGTTACTATTATTATTAAACAAATTTAACCAAGAATCAAGAGAAACACTTTCCCTCTTGTCTTTTTTTCTCTCCATCTCTCTTTTTTATAAAAAAGAAAAGTGCAGTCAGAGAGAAGGTGAGCGGACAGATGGGCGCTGGGCGGAGGCACGGGAGAGGTCTCAGGCCGCTAGTGATAGTGCACAAACGTGTGCCGGAGAAGCTCGTCAGCGGGAGGTCGCAGCTTGGCCTCCACGAAGATGCGTTTGAGGAAATCCCGGGTATAGTCTGAGACGTGAGGCGGCAGCTTGGGGTTGGTGGGCTGGGTGGCGATTTTAAAGATAGCAGCCATGGCTTCAAATTCAGCCCAGGGGGGCTTTTCAGTCAGCATCTCCACCACCGTGCAGCCCACGCTCCTGAAAAGAGAGGGCCTTACAAAAAGTGCCACCACGAGGGCTGAGGGAACTGGCAGGAAGTGAGACATGGGCGATTAACACGACTGAGTCAAGTGTCAAGTCTCCCTGAAAGGCGTCTACATACAACTCGCTTAGATCGGAGGCTCCAAGGCCCAGGCCCCAGGGCGGCGGACATTCCACTAGCCCCAGAAGTGGCTCTGGCCCCATAACTTTCACAACGCCACATTCCGGGCAGCCTACGCGGGCAGGGCGGTTCACCACCTACCACCTGGCAGACACCCAAGACCAGGTGGCCTCAGGGCAAGAATCAAGTGTTAACAATGACTGACGTGGAGACCTGACAGGAGGAGCTGAAGAAATGAGGTTTTCTGAGTTTGAGGAGACACTTTTAAGTGAATTTATGTATTCTTTGAGGGGGTGGGGGCGGTAACTAGATGGATGGATGGATTCATTCATTCACTTATTTATTTATGACACTGGGGACTGAACCCAGGACATGCGCTCTACCCCTGAGCCATACCCTCCCCCTTGAATTTATGTATTCTTAAGGAAAAGTGTTATTTTCCATACTTGATGTAACATCATTCCCAAACCTGAAAAATGAGGTAAAGCTGTTTTAAAGATAAATGTCTACAATCATCACTGAAACTCCCTGCCGGGATGTGTCAAGGATATAGTGCAGTTCTAGGGGAAGTATATTATGTAGGCATTCTTAAAAGAAAATCATGTTGGATTCTAAATCTGAATGAATTCTGACAGTTGTAGAAATAAATGGGGAACACTCAAAAAGAGGCATAGTTAAAATGATGATAATCCTTGCAATCCTGACATCCTATTTCAAAAGTACAAAAGATACTTTAAATCCAGCTCAGTAATTTCTCTCTCAGGTGGAAACAAGTAAGAAGGCAGGTGTTTTCAGGCACCACCCCCACTTCCCCATCAAAACCTACCAGATATCTGCTTTCCTGCCATAGCCTTCTCCACTAATCACTTCAGGGCTCATCCAGTACGGTGTGCCTGTGACAGACTTCATTCCTGTCCCCGAAAGACAGATGGTCTGAAGTCGTTTGCTGGCCCCAAAATCTCCTAGTTTGACATTGCCTGTTGAATCTCGCAGAATATTTGCGCCTGAAACAAGAAATATCCTCATTTCATTATGTTTACCGGCAGTCTGGAATATAATATAAAAGAACACAGAGAATTACTTTGTAGACGCTTCAATCTACTCCAAAATCAGGGTACTTTTCACCTTCTGAGCGGTACCTGGGGTAATGCCAGTCACACAGTCGGTGCGCATTAAAGATTTACCATGTGAACACTGAGTATTTAGAGTCACTGGGGTGTGCCTCAGGGCCTGAGAAGGTTCTGCCACTGAAAAGGATTGATGCATGGAAAAAAAGAGAAAGGGGGAAAGGACTAAGAACGAAACGTGCAGGGAAGGGTGGAGAAGCAGCTGCAGGCTCCTGGCCCGGTCTCTCTGTCACAAAGCAAGAGCCCAAGATAATCCAGAGATTATCTCCCTCCGCAGGCACTTCTTGAGGGACCTTCACAATCAAAATTCTTCCTTCTGCGTTCCTCATTTCTATACAGTATATTTTAAATCTATTCTAAGCAAGTTTTGAGGTTTCTGTTTTACAATTTCATTTACTCCTATAGTAAACTTTAAATTTTATTTCTTATAAACGGACTCTGGTCACCCAGCTGAGGTGTGTGTACGAGCAGAGTTCTCCACGGGCGAGCGCCCCCTTTCCACACTAAGCTCCCGGGCAGACGTCCACTATGTGCGGCCTACCAGTAAGGAGTGAGAAGCCTGCTCCAGGCTCAGCAGTTGCATACGTTACTTCGAATTATTCTGTACTGATTTGTTTCCTCTCTCCCATTTACTCACTCAACTACCCACTTCAACCAGTATGAACACACAGAGACTTACTTTACACTTTAGGTTGTAATCCAACGACTATGTTTTTGCTGGAGTTGCTCCAGCTTTGGCTGTCCACAGCTCCCTCTGTTGGCTCCTGCGGCCCTCTGCCGTCCCTCAATCATTGTGTTCTTGCTTGTTTTGGATCTCTGGGGTGTTTTTTCGTTTGTTGTCTTTTAGCACTGTCTTATTTGCTGGTACTAGAAGGTGCTCCAAGCCTTGTGTATTCTGCGCACCAGTCCCAGAATCAGCCATTTGTCTAAGGAGCCCTGGCTCCACTCAGTGGAGAACGGTGTCAGAAATCAAGATCAAGGCGCTAGGTTCATTTATTTTTGTTCTTTATTTTCCCCTTTATCTCCTTTATTAGTCTTTTTTCTGAGATTATAAGTCTTTCTTCTTATATAAATTATTTCTATTCTCATTTTTAGCTTTGTCTATAAACTATTTTTAAATAAGCAACTTACTTTATTAGCTTATCTAATTTTAGTTTTTAAATTCTACTTCAATTCTTATTTTTAAGTCTTCCATAGCCTTAACCATATTTTATACTAAAAAAAGGTTACTTATTTTTCATATCTTTTTTTTTTTTTACTGGCCTCTAAGGAGAGTGAATAGTGGAGAAAATACTGGTGAGAATACAGACTGTCCATCCTCACCATGAATTTCTGTACCTGTCTTTCTGTTCTCCCAGCAGCTTCCCCAGTCTAGTCAATTAAGGCTCTACAAAGCCCCTCTCCAGTGGCGGGTCAAAGACCCACTCTCTGCACGCCATAAGCCCAAGTGTGGCATGACTGGTTTGTCTCTAAGACAGCACTGCCTGTTTAACATCTCTCACTGGCTAAAAGTTAAAGATGTCAGAAAAAGGCCCTGTGTCTACAATATTGAACCTAGGGAAGGACAACAAATGAGCCAGATTTTACTGGTTACCAGCTGGGAAGGAACAGTCCCAGGCAAGTCACAGACAAGGAGAGCCATCTCTGGGGAGTAATCACCAGTGCTAAACCAATGCCAATCCATACAAAGGGCTGAGGAGAAAATGTAAGGCCAAGTCCCCAATATAGTTACCTAATTTTTAAAAAACTTATTTTGGATATGTTAGAAGTAAGCTAATAAGGAGACTTTTCAAACAGACTTGGGAAGCACACAGAATAGTATATGAACTCGTCACCCAGCCCCAACCACCAGCGGGGCAATCTCTCCCAGCCACACTAGCAGCCACTTCCCCTTCCCTCCGCATATGATTTAAATCAAATTAAAGAGATCACAATCAATAAACACTTCAGGAGTCCTTATCTTTTAAAGATATGTACTGTCACACACCTAAGAGGATAGACAATAACTCCTCAATACAGTTAAATACACATCCAGTGATTCTTCAGTTTTTCTTTAAAAAAAAAAAATCAGAATCCAAATAAGGTCTTTCCAATCTTCTTTTCCCTTCGCAATTTATGAAGAATCTAAGTTGTCTACCTACAGCTTTCTTATGATCTAAATTTTGTTAAGTCTATTCCAAGAGGTCATTTAACATGTTCATCTGTCCTATGTAGCTGTTCTATAATCCTACAATTTGGTAGCTGAATCTAGAAGCTTGATCAGATTCAGGTTCAATTATTTTGGGCGTGGGGGGGACTACTTTGTGGATGAAGACATAGTCTATGACTATCAAGTAAGTAATGCTAGATTCTGTGAAGTCAGCAACTGTTAATGTTTAGTGATTTTATCTATTAATCCATTAGCAGTTGTAAAATGGTACTATTCTATCATTCCTTTTTCATTTATTGGCCAAAATATTTTTATAAATATAAATTTTCTTTCATCCATTATTTAGTCCTCAGTAGTATATTTCATAAAAGAAAGGCAGAATAAAGGAACCCTATTACAAAATTAGTTGGTTTCCTAGCAACGGTAATCAATTAACTTTTATCCTAGGTTTCTTTATGAACTCCCAGGTTTAAACTTAAAAGTAATCAACTATCTTTCTTTCTCCCTTGCAATTGCTTGTTATAAAAGTTTAGGAAATACAGAAAAAGTAAAAAGTATGCAGAAGAAAAACAATGATCACTCATCCTGCCACTTGGAAGTAACCACTGTTAACCACACGGGAATTTTTCTAGGTCATACTTTAATTTTACAAACTTGAGATTATACTGCACATCCAGTTTTATATTGTATGTTTTTCTTATCAATATTATTTGCCCTAAAATGCTTTTAAAGCAGCTTGCTTCCAACCTGCTCGTTTTACTGGCAGGGTTAGAAGAGGACCCACTTGGGGTGGCTCCCCTCAGTTCCTTTCCTTTGTCTCCTCATGAATGCTGAAGAGAAACTAGCTTGAATGGAGATTACTCCTAATAGAATACTTCGCAATCAAATCATTTCCTCGTGGCTTTTTTTTTAATTTAAGTATACTACACTTGACCTACAACACTATATTAGTTCCAGGTGTACAACACAGTGATTCAATATTTCTATACATTATACATCACACTTCACGTGGTTCTTTAAAAGCTATTCGGTTTTGTACTTGACAAGTGGGTAGGTCTTGAGGAGAAAGACCAGCTCCTACTTCTTTCAGATCAGGAGCCATGTCGTCACTGTCTGAGACTCACAGGTAAGCTCCATTCTGCACATGGGATCTGGCTCAGACGTTCTGCAGCATTCTGCTCTACAACCAGGAACTGGTTAGGAACGTTCTCTTTAGCCTGAACACAGCCATATTCGGGATGTGACACACCACAGAAAGGAAGTAAATTTTTGGTAGCTTATACGGTCCCCAGAAAGACCAATGGAAAAAAATGTTTTTAATTTATTACCTATATTGTGTATTTGTTCATTATTCTCATCGACTGAATAAAGTTAGCATCTTTGCAGTACAGTTTTAGACTCTCAAACGTACACATCTCCACCACTGGAGTTTGTGTCGCTCCATGCAGTTACCTTACGGGCCTGATCCCTGAAAACAGTTGAGTTTTTGAGATTTAAAAAGTGAGACTCACTGAACTGGAGTTCATCACAACTCAGTCTGGGCTCTCCTCGTCTTCTCTCCTTAGGTAGTGATATCCATGTCCACGGCTTTAAATATGATCTGCACATGAAATACTTCACCATCCTAACTAACCTCTGAGTGCTTCCTATGTACCAGGCAATGTTTCAGACATTTAATACACATTAATTTATTTAATCCTTATAAGAATCCTGTGAGTTATATGTTATTATCACCCTCCTCAAAAATGAGGAACTGAGGCAGAGAGAGATTAAGTGTCTTGTCCAAGGTCACAGATTTAGTGATGGATAAAGCCTGAATTTAATCAGGTCATCTGGTGTCAAGAGCCCTACTCTTAACCATTATATTCTAATACCTATGCTCTATGTATGAAAATATGGTCTCATTTTTATGATCATTTGAACTTTATTGATTCTGTGAGCCCCACAGGAAGCTTCCCTCTTGTGGAAACCTGAACATCAGGACTAGCTGGAATTGTTTTCCGATGGTATTTTAAATGTAAATGTATTAATTTAAATGTTAAATTTCTTAACCATATTACTTGTTTCATTAAAAAAAAACTGTGTACTTAAAAAAATACCTTGTAACTTACCTTTTATATCTCTATGAACAATCATATTGCTGTGCAAATAATGGACACCCTCCAGAATCTGACGGGTGTATTTCCTAGTCACATTCTCAGTAAGAGCTCCATATGCTTTTAATTGGTCCTTAATGGAACCCTAGGATTAAAGAAAAACAAAAGAAAACTATAGTATGCTCTGAAATGAAAACTACTGCAAGTAAATATTTATTTTTAAAGATTTGTGTGTGTATTTATTATTCTTATTGACTGAAAATAATTATTTATTTTTAATTGAAGTTTAGTTGACATACAATGTCATGTTGGTTTCAGGTGTCTAACATAGTGATTCAATACTTAAATACATTACAAAATGATCACTGCAATGAGTCTAGTAAACACCTATCTCTATACAAAGTTATTAAGTATTATTGACTATATTCTTTATGCTGCATATTACATCTCTGTGACTCATTTATTTTATAACTGGAAGTTTTAATTTGGGGAATCCTACTTCGGACTGGGAGGCTACAGCTGGAGAGCACAGGAATTCTCAATAAGGACACTCCGTACCTTAATTCAACATAAGCTCTACTATGCTCCTTGACTAGACCCGAGGCAGTGTGTGTGTCACAGACAAAGGAAGCCTTTAAAACTATTTTCTGACTGATACCCTTGTTTCTATGACCATGCTGGCTCTACCTCCTGTTCCTTACATATTTTTAAATATCCTCCAGCACTTTTATCTTGCTTTTTTTCTCCCTGAATATAGTGTTTCCTACTTAATCTTCTATATATGTCCTGCTTTCATTTTATTTTGTTCTTACTGTTTTTACAACACAGCTTTATTGATATCTGCTGATTTACTTCTCAGGAGAAAGAATAGGTACGATTAGACGATCAAAACACACATGAGATTTTTAAGTTTTTCTTCTATATACTCAACATTCTAGTTCAAAACATGAGAAAATACATTAAAGAGAAATTTCTAATTTTCTTAAGTGTTTTCAAGGCAGGATGAGGTGCTACCTCTGAGAACAGAGAACCCATCTGAGGTGAGACGCAGGCAACCTGAATTTTGAAAAAGCTTCCCTGATGATTCCAATGTGCAAATCTGATAAATAATCACCACTTTAAAAGATGGAAATAAAATGCTTCCTGAGGGAAAAAAATCTTTTCTTTTAAGGAGATAATATATTCAAATATTCCTTTAATTTTGGTAAACTGTATACTTTGTCATATTAAAGAAGAGCCCTGGATTTTACAGGTTTAATCAATTGCTCTATTCAGGAGCAATTCCTGAAGGGACAACAAGATGCAATTCTGCTGACCCAAACTTGCAAACACATGTGGAGAGCCTTAGGCAGTGAGTGAACTCAGACAAACACACGTACATAATTCAAAGTGGCTTGTTTGTTCAGGCAACTTATTGTGTCTACTTGTACAGTAATGCACAAAATAACACAGCTAGAACTGATCTTCCCACACAATAAGCCCCCAAATACTTGTAGGCTGCAAACGAAGGATAGGTTTAAGGATGCTCTGGGCCCTCGGGCAGCTCCAGCAGTCTGTTTACTGTTGTGTGCCATAAAAATGTTATCTTCTTCAGTGTGAACAACTGGAATGGGTTGGGAAGGACTGTGCCAGATAAAAACTGGGTGTGTGTGTGTGTGTGTGTGTGTGTGTGTACAGTTTTGGCAAAGCTTGAATTAGGGCAGAGTAGGGTCCATCTTACTAAATTTAATGAGAGAAATTATACAGAATATCCACAAACTTGGAGATTCAGGAAAGTCTAGGAACATCTACGTCCAGCCGAGATATGCCAGGAGCTTGCCATACATATAATTCATTTAGATTGTCAATGAACTATTATTAATTTAGTAACATGCTTTTCAAATTCAAGGAATGATAACCCATACTTTGAAGAGATAGCTGCCCTTACAAAACCAAGCACAGGTAATGAGAAATGCGATCTAACACCTGTTCCTGGACAGTCCTAGTTTAGTCTTAATATTGCTAAATATATAAAGATGACCCATACCTCTACTTGTGATGTTAACTGGTTCTAACCAATGAAGCATTTTGATTAATTTTACAATCTGGGTCTCTATTCACATTTATTCATAATTATTTTCTATGATTAATTTAAATATTTATTGCAAACAGTAATGGAAATCTGAGTAAGAGAAAAATCAATCACAATCCCAACATAACACATTTTCACTTTTCTAAGTTCCTTTCATTCCTGTCCAAATACACATACTTTTAAAATATCATAACCATCATTTAAAAACACTTTATATTCTTTTTTCTTCTCTTATTATAAGTATTTCCTCCATCTCTGCTATATGGCCTTCACAATTTTAATTTTTAATATATATTCTCTTGGGCACGGCCATCATAATTTACTTCCACCGGGGGCACTGACAGTTCCATTTTTTCCATTACAACTGATATTAAAATAAAGCAATACAGTTTTTTCCTTCTTTTGGGTTACTTTGGTAGAATAACTTTCCATGAGATTACCAAGTCAAAAGCCTTCAATACTTTTATGGCGTTTAATACATCCCACCAATGTGTTTTCCAAAAGGGGATTTTTTTCAAAAAACCAATTTACACTGCCAAGAGAATATTTGAAAATTTTTAAAAAAAGTAGCAACAATGAGTAACGATGGTGTCACTATAAATAATTATTCATGAAGATAAAAAACAAAGTAGAGTTTGCTGTTGCTCCTGTAAGACTGAGGATGGTTAATCCCATTGCGGTCAGCCCTCTGTATTTGTAGGTTCCACATCTGCAATTCAACCAACTGTGGACTGAAAATATTTGGGAAATAAAATTCTAGAAAGTTCCAAAAAGCAAAACTTTAATTTCCTGCACTAGCAACTATTTACATAGCATTTACACTGTAGCTACAACCATTTACATAACATTTACAGTGTATTAGGTATGATAAGTAATACAGAGATGACAAAGTACATGGGAGGATGTGCTTAGGTTATATGTAAACACGACACCATTATATAAGGGACTTGAGCATGTTTGAATTTTGGTATCCGTAGAAGTCCTGGAACCAATTCCCAGGGGATACTGAGGGACAACTGTACTATCATATCAGATACTTATACACGGTTGACCCATAAGCTTAAACTGCAACCTGTACATTCTACATACAATTCTAATAAGCGGTTCTTAAAGACCCATAAAGCAAACCACCTTCTAACGTACACTGCCTATTATGGGAACGAATGTGTTTTTAAATGAGTAAATGTACCACCAACTTGAAAATCATTAGTATTAGACTGTACTCTACAAATAATAAAAATAACAATAAAAGGAATGACAGTTTACAAAACACATTTTTTATTTAATTTTTTAATTTTTGAGGGAGAGGTAATTAGGCTTACTTATTTATTTATTTTTGTAGGAGGTGCTGGAGATTGAACCTAGGACCTCATGTATGCCAAGCATGCACTCTACCACTTGAGCTATACCCTTCTCTGCTTCACTTCCTTTTGAAATTATTGACTCAGGCAATGATTATCAATCTGTTATATTATTAAATAATGTTAAAAACATTAGGTGGAGGGTTTAAAAGGAAATGGATATTTCTATGTGCCGCTGCCATAGCTTAGATTACTTTCTGGTCTTCAGGGAAAAACAAAACTTTACAGTGGAAGAATCAGGATGCTGGTCGCCCTCGTCTAGCGGTCCAGTCCATCTCAGCATCACTACCTTGGGACAGCTAGAAACTGTATGTTTCCTAATGAGACGAACATGAAGTGCACGCATCATTTAGGATTCATGCTAATCAATGCTGAAGTTGAACCTTACTTAGATTTTAGATCTAACTCGGAGTTTACAGGAAATATGAGGCTAAAGGAGCAAACTAAACACCACAAGGATGAGATTAGAGAAATCTGTGAGATGAGACTGTCAACAAAACAATCAGCCCGGTCTCTTTGTCAAATCTATGTCATGTAAAAATCGTTCTTGATTAAAAGAGTAAGAGACTTGGCAAAATGTAATGTGTGGTCCTGGCCTGAATCCTGGTTTGGATAAATCAGCTATTATGAGTGATTTTTAGAGCATTTAGGGAAATCTGAGTGTAGACTGCTGTGATGTCTGCAACAAGTATACTTTAGCATTTTTAAAAAAAGAGTTAAAAAATACAAAGACAGACGAAGAAGATAGAAAATAAAATTATTACCCATCCTCTAATTTAAAACGCTTCTGAAATACCCTTCACATTTTATAATCAAAGTTTTGTTGTTCTTTCCTCAACTAAGACTTTAAATAGACTATCTCTATTTTCAAAGGATGTACTAACTTACCCCTGGCATATACTCCATAAATATGGAAAGTGTTTTTTCTTGGGGATCCCTCAAACAGCCATAATACTGAACAATTCGCTCATGCAGCAAGTTTTTCAACAACTGAATTTCACACTCAAGTGCATTTACTTCCTGAAAGACAGAACTCACTGTTAAGTCTTTACAGCATTGTTAGTAAAGGAAAAAAAATTCAAATTTGATGGATCATCAAGGTGATTTCACTCTGAAATTTTCACTTCTCCCAAAATAAACATTTTAAAGGCTCTAAACAATAACTTTTATAGCAGTCCTTGATGGTACGCTAAAGCAACACTGAATCAGATTGGGAATACAACTGAGTACTAAAAGAGAAAAATCCATGGTACAAAGTAAACATATTTGATTATCTCTCTGTTTTGCAAATAATTTGCACTAAGGAAAAACAAAAAATTCTACTGTGTGTTACATTTATTTTAGTAAAAATGCTTCTTATAAATGTGGTAAAGTAGCTTGTTCAGGTGACTCTTACCTTGCTGGTTTCAGGACTATCTGGGTCAAACTGCACTTGCTTGACAGCCAACTCTCTTCCTGTATCAACATCATAACAGAGGTAGACCCTGCCAAAGGCTCCCTGGCCAAGCAGTTTGCCCAGTCTCCAGTTGGTTGGAGCACGAGGTGCTAAAAAACAACATTTTCTTACAATGGAATAGCCACATGGCACACAATGGTGAAGGACTAGATGAGAACACTGCAGTAGTGATATCCTTAACTGAATATGCTTGGATATTAAGGGAAAAACATAATCATACAAATTCACAATGATCAGCATCTGTGAAAACTTTTCTGTTTAGTAAATTTTATAATTCTAAACCCAAACAAGGTTCATATCCCAGTGACTCATTTTTTTCCCCATGAGATTATTGTTTTTACCTGACTACAAATGTAATAGCATCTTTCACTCAATTTAAGATGCCACTGACTGTAAAATGCACTATTTCTAATCTTTACTGCAGTACTATCTGGTCTCAGTTACCATTCCAGTCTTACTTCCACTGCTTCAAGTAAGATATTCTCCACGTCACCCGAAAACGAACTATTCCCCCACTTTCAGAATACGTCCCGGCTCTTTGCACCTGTCACCTTCTTAACTGGTGAATTCCTACTAACATTAAAGATACGGATTAAATGCTATACTGTAGTTATTTCTCCACACATCAGTGTCCCCGTTAGACTACACCTTGCAGGTCATACCTGAAATCTCCCTGCTAAGCACTCAACAAGAATATGTGAAATCAGTGACTAAACGGTAACAATTTTCCTAATGAAAGGAAGGACAGGATCATTTAAAGTAATCAGCGCGGTCATACTATGCTTATACCCATCATTAGAACCACCTTTAGAAATACCATTTTCACCTTTCTTGAGAAGCTGGTCTCGCCCTGATGACTGGCTCGTACTTATTCCTTCTAATAACTATAAAATTCTGCAGAGGCTCTGTTGTACATTTCACGATGCCCATATCTATTACTCACAGCGGCTGGGTGGGCTGATGTCCATCACAGTCAAAGTGGGATTGTCTATGTCACTTCCTCTTCTTCTTATTCGACTGTCGTCATACTCTGGGGTAAAGATACTGCTTCCACTGCTAGTGCTTAAGGAGTGATCAGTAGGACTGAAACTCACAGGAGACCGGAAGCTAGTCCCCTGGGTCCTTCTAGCTCTTGGAAAAGTTTTACGACCTACAAAATGAAAACAGAATTACCTTGCAACTTTTATCAATATATTGTAATTGAAAGTATCTAAAATTTGTAACATATGGAACAAATTTGTTCTGTGACTAGACTAAAAAACTGAAATAGCAATGATTATTTGATTGTATGTTCAAACTTAAGAATGGTACTTTTTAAAAGAGTTCAAGGAAATATCCTTGATAGCAATGAATCATGAAGTCAAAAATAAAAACAAAGAAAAGAAAGGTGAAAGCAGAAGTGAAATGTGGGGAAAAAAGAAAAAGACTCTGCATACAGATTCAGATAACCTCTTATGTTAACAAACACACACACTTTCATAAAATCATAGAACTCCCTCATTTTGGATAAAAAGGAGAAAAAAGTATATTTTATTCTCACTGCCAATAACAATTTAAAATATAAAACAAAAACTGCAAAATGTATAGGTAGCAGTTATTTTGTTTTCTTAAGAGGACAATGCAAGTATGAATTTCATCATCAAGGAGTAATTTTCTAATTAATACCATTTTTAATTACTCCTTTCCTCTGGGGAAGATAAGTATTATGAGGTAACTTGGCATAAAGCTAAGATGTTACTACAGTTTTAGTTATGATCCAACTTCTTTAAAAAAAACTTAAGCAGAAAACTAAGTGATATAGGAACAAATTTATTTTTATTGTTTTTGAGATTTTTAACAAACTGTTGTTTGATATAATTGCCAGAAACTTACCATCATTATAGTCTTGATGGTGATATGAAACGTGATACCTTCTTGGATATGTTCCTCCTTTTCCAAATTTCTCAAAGATAGGGTTATCATAGTCTATTAAGATACGTAAGAAAGTTTCATGTTGTAAAAAAATCAAATCTTTCTAATGATGAAAAACACATTTACACATTTGTATTTGATTTTTTAAGAAAATTCCCTCCTCCTCCCAGCCAAAACGTTATTCAATGACATAAACGTTTAAACACTTAGATTATGGACAGTCTGACCTGAGAATTCCTGATGATTATCTGGGTAGCTCTGTGCCCTAGGCATTCGCGACTTTGGATAGCTCTCTCTAAAAGAAGAAAATGTCACGTTAAATTAAGAGAAAGTACTTAAAACATTTTAAAAAATCTTCACACAATATCAGTACCTGTATGTGTGTGTGGATATACACATATGCGTATATAATATATATAAATATACCTATATAAATAAATGCAGGTGCTTACCCTGAAATGTTAACTGAAAAAAGAGAAACTTGTTTTTAAACACTTATTTGGTACATGTATGCAGAAAGCTTGGCTTTTAAAATTAACCCATGGAGTACAGTAGTAAGAATGATATGCTTTGGAATTACAGATGTATGGAAACATCTGTTTCAATCTTAACTCTGCCACTTAAACTAATTATTGCAACCTTGGCAAATCACCTTTCTGAGACTTTCCACATCTATAACAAGGAGATAATAACGTCTAACTCATCAATTTCACATTTATCTATTTCAGGACAGTATCTTTAAATATTAAGTACTCATTATATAGCTTTCACATTACTATTTCCCTGACTTCAACTGTTTTAAGTATCTATCATGAGGTAGACATGGGCACAGATAAAGGTTTCACATATACGGGTAACAAAAAATTAAATGTATATTTTCATCCAGTATTAGTTTTATTTTCAGAATCTGCTTTCATAAAGCAATCCCAGAGGAGATTAAATAGGGAATGATCTTAATAAAGTACTTAAAGTTTAAATGACAACCAACACACCGGGCCACAATTTCCAAGAATGTACACTCTTTATAATTTGTTGCCAAAATGAACGTAATCCTGAACAGGTGAAATAACTCAAGAATCTCCAAAACCAATCCTATTATGAAAAATTTTGACAGCAGTTTCATCATCGCAAGCTTAAAAGTATACAGAACTTCTAAGTTTGCACTTAAGTTTCAAACACACAATTTAGGCAAGAAGGAAATTCAAAATACTGTGATCAGATATCATTTTAACTAATAAAGATATTGAGCCTCATGAGGTTAAGGGATTTCTCCAAATTGTGAAAAAACCACTTTGCCATGGTAAAGATAAATCAGCATCATTACATTCCTCTGACTGTAAAACAAAAGAGTTGATAGTTCAACATGCTATACCTACGCATATGTGCCCACATACATTGAAAAACAAAAGCCACAATGAACATTACCCATCCAAAGGGCTATCAAGTGATGGACAACTTCCTGAGCCAGAATTTTCAGGGCTGCTCAAAGATAATGGGTCCAGCATCTAGAAAAAGAAGAGTCCACCTTGATTCGACATAATATAACCAGAAGTTACTCTGGTTTTAAAACAGCTTTATTGAGATATAAATTCATATATCATAAAATTCACTCATTTACAGCACACGATGCAATTCAGTGGTTAATACTGAGAGAGTGTAACCCTCATCACAAGCTCAGAACACTTTCTGTACCCTCCCCCCAAAAATTCCAATAACTAACAGCAGTCGTCCCGAGTTGACTCATTTTTAAATGTTGTAAAAGTAGCCGTCCCCCATAGGCAGGCTACAACTTCAAAAGTTTATAACAGAAAAACACTCTTTCTCTCCAGATAACTAGCTAAATAATTAAAAGCTGAAAGATATCATATAACTTTTTTTACTGAAAACTCAATAGCCCCACCCAAGTAGAAACTAATGACACCATGACTGCTACATTATTAGAAAATGTAAACTCCTGCAACGACCTCAGCAGCCGATGCAATGTCACGGAAACTACAGCAACTCCATGAGAATACTTCAACATCATGAAACTTTAAAAACCATTTTTAAATGTTTAGAAAGGAGGCAAACCTCAGCTTCACAAAGTTAAATATTTGTAGTTTTATTCTATCTTTCAAATGTTAATTTAAAAATCTGAATGTTAGTCCCAGAATTATAAACAAAAGCATTCATTCATTTACAAATGAGCAACCTAAGAAAATCAGCCTTATTCCTCCTTTATACATGAGTGATCACAGGCACTTGTTAAGTAGTGGGTATTTTCCCACATTTCTACATTTTTACCATTTTGTTTACTTAAAAAGCTATAGATAATGGGACTGGAGAAGAGGTAAAGCAAACATCACCACCCCCGTCGGCCCCCGCCCCAATACACCTGCCAAATCACACTAGCCCCTGACAGCATCCCATGAACTGAAATGAAAAACCACGTCCAACTTTTGCTTACTTGGTCCATGCTCTCTGGAATGAATTCTCCTTCGCTGTTGATACTGGTAAATGACCCATTCCGGGCAACCTGGTGTAATTCATCTGGAATGTATCCTGGGGGAGGGGAGCTTCTATCTCTACTAGTGGGACCTTAAAGGAGAAAAATTGTATGATTTTATAAATAAATTCCAGCAGGGAACTAATTCTTGTCTTCATTAAATATACACCCAGAATTTCTGGACTATAGTACGAATACTTTCAGCAACTGAAGTCCAGTTTTTATTAAAACTTATCAGAGCATTCATATCTGTAAAACTTCAAATATTTTTATTCCTTTCTAAACTCCTACCCTACTACAAGTATTAACTTACTGTAACATGCACTTATACTTATTAGATGGTATGTTCTTCTGACTGCTGACAACTACATTATGAGGTGGACAATATAATAAAGAATTTTAGATAAACGACACTGCTTCTGCACTTCCAAAGGTCACTTGTGCTCTGGTATATGTCACCCTTTAATGTAATTTATGGAAGGCATCACAATGTAGTGAAGAGAACATGGACTCTGGAGTCTGACCTCAGTTTAAATACCAGCTGTGTGTCTCTGGGAAAGTTATCCAATCTCCATGAACCCGTTCCCTCATCTGTAAACACGGGACTGAATCTCTCATTTGCAGGGTGCTGTGACAGTAAAAATACTCACAATGAACACACTACACACATCTGTCTACATGATGTTCTTCCCATTCCCTCTTCAATCTCCAGAAACCCAAAGTGAGATTACTTCTTAGTCATTCTGCCCAAATTAGAGTGCTTCCAACTTGGAATCCTGGATTTTATTCTTGGGTACTTAAAAATTAGACATTTTTGGCAAGCCATATTCCTGGAATTAAAACTTCTTCACAGTTTAGAAAATCTAATATAGTTCATTTAATTATGCTGTGCTTATTATTAACACAGTTTCTCTTCTTCCTTTTTCGAGATTAAACTATAAAACAAGTATGAGGAAGTTATGTGAGCATTTAAGTTCTGGTCAGATTTAAGGCAAAAAAGGCTTCTACCTTATGGAAAGGAGTCACTGTAAATACATGTTGGCATTTGTTAGTGATGAGACAAAGAGAACAAAATGATTACCAAGAGATGGGCATAAAAAAGATAACTTTCTACCCTTGACTCCAAAATTATTAGGCACTCAAGTTTGAGCCAGGGGTTGATTCAGGCTTTGTAACAACTATGATCATAATGTCCCTAATATTTTTATTCCTTCCATGTGCCCTTATGTATAAAAGAAGATAAACACACTCATTAATCAAAGGAGGTAGGGAAGAAAAAAGGTTCTAAACATTTCTTCACCTCCTTATTTGATTACCCATTTTTTGGAACCTTTGTTAGTAACAAGTATGCCATGCACTCTTGGGTGAGACCTTCACACCAGCATATACTCTCATCCCAAAGGAAGTTTTCCTCTACCTTTTGTGAAAATAATTAAAGGAAATAATGGTCAATATGTAAGAAAAAAAGACAATGGTCATATTTATCAAAGCCATTCCAAGTTTAAAGAGGTGCCAAGAAATGACTAGTAATTTTATACTTTATAATTTCCAGTTTCTTCTTATGTTGGCACTGAAGTCAAACAACAAGGGTATTTATTCATAGAGTAAGAGTGAGGTATTCAGTACAGTTTTAATTCAAAATGAATTTAAAATGTCAATTTAATGCATTTAGCTTGTTCTGTCTAATTCAAGTAAAATGAACTGTCAATTTTTTACTTTAAAATGATAGATACTATAATGATAAGAAAAGGAAATAAAGAAAGAAATGTATGATTAATAGTAGTCACGCTTTCTAGTTTGAAAAGCAAAATGTACTTTGAAGGTGTTTTCTCATCTGACTGCTACAACAATACCATGATTTAAAGATGAGGACAATGTTACTGGTCTCAGGTTAACTGAAGAGCTGGAACTTGAATTCAGGTATCCCTAATGTTCTTCCACCCAAATTTTAAACTGTATCAAAATATATCCAAGTGAAGACAAGCATTTTTATTTTACTTGTATATTATCTATGCTGTTCACATTTTCAGTATTTCTGAAACCCAAGTAAGACAGACATTTAGAAGGAAGTGGACATAAAATAGCTTCTGGAGACCAAAAGAGAAGATGAATAATGGACTTTTGGGTTGGTTCACATGCCAATTTTATTTTTTCTTCCATTATTAACAGTCTTCTTCTATGACCATCCTCAGATTTCCATCTTCCCACCTCCTCCCTATTCATCCGTTTCATCTCCTCTTCAATTCCCCTCTTCAAACCCATCCTTCACATACATTCTCATGCTCTTTAATGCCCAGACTCACTATCTGCTAAAAACATTTATACCAGTGTTTTTGGAGCAATGTAATGTTTTAATCATATGAAAATACAGATTATCAATGTTTTATACAAACTGAAGAAGTCGGGGGTCAGAGCACCTCTGCCCAGCCCATGCCTCTTTAACAGGCCTCCTTTAAAAAGAACAGAACACAGGATCCATTTCTCTTTTTACCATAAGTTTGATTGTAATAGTGCATTATTAATGACTAATAAAGTAATAATAAAGCATACTCTGGAAATTCTTAGCAATCTTTATTCTGATAGCATCCTTGGCAATAATTACAATTTAGAGAAAGGTTTATGAACTTAGCCCATCCACTAATTTTAACATATTAGAATTATTTAATTTTTTTCCCTTCAGTTTATTTGTACTATTAAAACTCTTGAGGTTTTATTTTAATTTGTTAAACATTTAAGTTGGAGACTGTTAATCCTGGAAAAACTTTTCAAGGGACATCAACACTAGAGCACAGGTAACTGAGTCAGTTACAAAGAGTACAGAGACAGGCTGCTCTCTATCTGGGTTATGTTTAGGGGCTGCCCTACAGTAAAGGATGGAGATGAAACTGAGAAACCACCCATTGCATGACTCAGACACTAGCTTCCTTACCTATAATAGAAAGTCTCTTTTTCCTCTCTGCTCCAAATACTGTGTTATCCAGATCTTCTAATGATGGCAATGGCTCTAAATTAGCAGCCTACAAAAAAAGGAAAATTAATGCCACTCTTCCCTTTTCCGGCTTTAAACAGAATCCTTTCCCCTACCAAATACAAGCTAATCTACACTGTCTGTGGGTCTTTGCAAATCTACTCTTTGAAATTTTAATTCTAATATAATTTTTCTCAAGTTCTCAGTTTCTGTTAGTTTCATATGTACAGTATATGACAGTGGTAATTTTGGCTATATAGCTTTGAGGAACAAGGATATTAAACTATAGCAATTACAATATACAAGTTTAAATCTAAGCATATTGAAAATACATCGGTGAGTATAGAATGTAACTATGTTTCATATATTAACTTTTACAGGCATAAATCCTATAATCCTCCCTGAAAAAAACCCAAACCATACCTGTGAACTTCCATTTATTACAAGCAGTATCTTGAGGCTCTTCATATGAATACTCCGGTCCAGCAGTTCCACAGCTTTGTCCAAGTCATCTTGGGTGGTTAATGGAATTACCAACTAAACAGAAAGGAACATAAGGAATGGTGCAGCCATCTCAGCGGCCAAGTCCTCCAGGAGCACCTCCACTACTGCAGAATACAGATCTCAAAGCCCCTTGCTCTGACTTGCCGGCATACCACGACTCTGACTGAACACTTGTGTCTAGATTGTCCTGCTCTTCCCATCCCACCATCTCTAAAATCAAAGGATGGATACGGATAAATACTTTTGCTTCATTAAACATTAAGTTCTTCTAGAAAAACACATTTAAAGATTAAAGATCAACTTTTCAGGATACTGCCGTAATATTGCTAAACTTATGTTATAGTATCTTCACCCCAAAACAGCATTAAGGAGCATACACAAAAAAAAAACCATACTGAAACAAGAAAAGGTACTATCTTTCATCTGCATTAAGGAAACTTTTGCCTTTTTGTAGTAACCACAGATTTGCATTCTTACCCGGGGTACCCACCAACACACAAAATACAATGCGCACCGGTGATGGATGCGTGGAGGGTACCTCCAGTGATGCCCCTGCAATCTAAGCCCACCTGGGGCTCCTCTCTCTGATCCTGGGGACTTGACCACTGCAGTCTAAAACAAACGAGCTAAATGGGTGAGCCAGCCCCTGGTGCACCCTGACTGCTGACATGTGCTTTCATTAGTCCTCTCATGGGTCAGATGTCATCAGGAACAAAAGCATCTGGACCATCAATGAGGAAAAAGCATGGTTCATACAACCTAAGAAAACAAAAGAGGTTGGTTTTGTTTTTTTAATGTAAACTTAGTAGCTTAAGACGACTCTGTCAATAATTGTCAAAGTATACAACATTTCACTGAAAGGATAGAATAAAATAAGAGAACATATTCTATACCTGTTACCCTATACTAATTAACACACTAATCTAGCCATTCAAATGTAAAGGCCTAGTTAGTTAAGGGTCCTCTAGAGTATAAATACCTTGAAGACAAGGACCACCCCGACCCCAAAACCAGTAATGAACACACAGCACAGCAGAAAACAAACACTTGGTAAACACTGTTTAATAACCACCACAGGGTGAAAGCTTCATTTGCACCCAAACACACTAGCTGCCATGGTGTGTGTTTTCTCGGCAGATTTCTTTATGAAAACGTTCCTCACTTTAAGAAAGGCTGCCAGACACAAGCATAAAGCAAGACCGACGTGAATTCCAGCATACAATCTGCTTACAATACTTACCCGGTACTTGAAATTCTATTCCCAGTTTCTGCTGGTAGCTAGTTTTACACTACTACAACTTATCTACTACCAAGTCCCTTTTCTCTCTGTGACAATTTTTTTCTAATAAAAAAAATATTAACTGTTTGGTATTATACAACAAGTCTGACCTACTTAATTAAATTCCTTTCATTTTCCTACCAATTATGAACCACACTGGTACATCTTGTTCCCATTTTTAACAGTTTTTAAATTATTTTTAAGCACTAGGAAGTATTTTAAGGCAATGATGAGGATTGTTCTGACAATTTTTGATTTGAGGGGAAAACCTGAATATTTACTTTAACTGCACATTATTTATAAGTGGATTGTTTACTTCTCCAAGATATTGCTGCCTTTGGAGAAGACACAGGTTAAAATCACAGTAACAAAACATCAATAAATGATTCTGCTCTTCCTCAGTCTGCCACAGTGAACCTGGACATTCTGGAGGAGAACCTGAAGCAGCAGTGTGGACGACTGCCTATGGTTCTGACTTGACCCCTCATGTGTACTAAGATCATCTATTATAAATTTTAACATGAGGACTAAGAGTCATGAACAAGTCCCACCTTGACTAAATTATCCTATATAAACCACCAATATTTTCCTGCTTGGTGAATTCATTTCAGCCTGATTCATAAAATATTTGCCTCTGGTTTATTACTGACAAGTCAGTTGTATGTTAATAAAAACCCTTTCTGGAAAGGAAACTAAAAATTGAGCCCCAAACCCCATTAAATAGAACCTAAGTTTGAAAGAAGTGAATTATCTTCCTGACTTTACATAGTGAAACATGAGAACAGTCCACAGAAAGGTTTCCTCCCTTCCCCATCTAAAACGGGAGAGGTCTTACTTTGCTGCACACCCCCACGTCTACCCACCATGACAACATACACCCCTGACACTTTCTTAGATAAAGAGGAGCTTAACTAACAAATCCAACCAATCTTAGCTCAAATTTACTGGCTGTTCCAATTCGGGCAAACTAGTTTATAGAATAATGATTCTTTTAGAACAGAGGAGTTTATGTTATACAAGGAAAAGATACTTATAGAACCAGAATAATAAGCAGTGCAAATGAGTTTTCTGCTTACCTACAGGTCCACAAAACTAACGCCCCTGATACGTCTTGCCTAGTAGCTCCCATGTCCAAGGTCATGCACTGGGCTTGTCATGAATCAGGACATAGTTAACCCACAGAATCACAGATTCGCACAGATACTGAGTTGCAAGAAAATTTTAAACAATGTAATGTTACTCTGCTGCCTCCTCTATCACATTCCTGCCAAGAGGCCACCCATATATAATGGCAAAACCACTCTCAGAAACCCTTCAGAAAACATGACAAAAAGAAACTGAAAATGGAGAAATTCTCCAATTTTTAGAAAATGGGAGAGGGTTCCTGAAACTACAAATCAGTTAATTTCTTGATCCTCAAGAAAACCCTAGAAAAAAATGACACACTGGCACACCTCGTTTTGGTGCACCTCACTTTACTGTACTTCAGATACTCTGATTTCTACAAATTGGAGGTCTGTGGCAACCCTGCCACAAGTTTATCAGTATCAGTTTTCCAACAGCATTTGTTCCCCTGTGTCTCTGTGTCATATTTTGGTAATTCTTGCAAATACTTCACACTTTTTCATGATCATTATAATTGTTATGGTGATCTGTGCCCAGTGATCTTTGATATTACTATTGCAAAAAGACTACAGCTTGCTGAAGGTTTAGATGATGGTTAGCATCTTTTTGCAATAAAGTATTTTTTAAGTAAGGTATGGACACTGTTTTTTTAGACATAATGCTAATGCACACTTAAGAGACTACAGCATAGCGTAAGCATAACTTTTATATGCACTAGGAAACCAAACAATTCATGTGACTTGCTTTATTGCAGTAGTCACCTTTACTGTGGTGGTCTGGAATGAACGTGCAATATCTCCAAGGTATGCCTGTAAACAAATTGGGAGAACTCAGAAAAGAAACAGCAATTCTGGGGGCTGGGACAAGTATAATATCAATAGTGGCAGAGAAATGGGAAGACAGGGAAGAGAAGAAGGCCCCTAAAGGGTGTATTATGTTGCATGTTACCACCATGGGCAAGGGAAGACCACCTTCCACCACATCCTTGAGCCTCAGGGCCAATCCCCATCCCCTATATGTACTTCAGCTTACACCCTATGCCCACACCTCTGAAAAGCCCTCAGAGTCTCAAGAGCTGGCAGCTGGAAATCAGGCCAGCACTAACAGAAATAAGGTGCCAAGACAGGGTCAGGCAACAACAGGTGTTCATGGCTAACTGATATTCCAGAAAGTATCTGAAAAATAAAATGTCAAGGTATTACCACGGCACAGCACTCAGCACTTTGTTCAGGAGTATTAGTTCTCTGGATGTGGATTTTTCCTTTACTAATGTATTTTCCTCTTTCAGCTGTAAGTAGTTTCTTTGTACAAGCTACAACAGCACGTTCTTCTGCTTTAAAGTAATAATAATTCATTTTACTGTACTTTTTGTTTTCTGAGGGGGAGATAATTAGGTTTCTTCACTGATTTCTGCTTGGAGGAGGTACTGGGGATTGAACCCAGGACCTCTTGGGTGCTGAGCACACGCTCTACCACTTGAGCTATACCCTTCCCCATAATAATTGATTTGAATAGGTAATATTTCAAATATTTTTATTTGCACAATGCTTTAACATTTGCAAAGTACTTTCAGTGTTTTCTCAAATTACTATTTACTAAGCTTTCCACAGTCACTCCATTCCCACTGACACTTTTTCTATCCCTGAAACACACAGGTCTGTCCCACCTTAGGATCTCTGTGTGCACTGCTCTCGAGCTGCTCTATCAGGAATGCTGTGCCCCTCAAACTCTTCGCAGGGTTGGCTTTTCACACTTCAAATCTCAACCAGTAAGTATTACTACCTCAGTTAGCTCTTCCTTAGTACTACCTAATCCTTTATCACAATACTTCCATGCATTTCTTTCAAGGAACTTCATATATTTAAACAATTCATTTATTAACTGTCTGCTTCTACCACAAGTCTATAAACTCCATGAAGGGCTGCAATTCATAAATCATAGCCATTATGCCTGGAAAATTCAACAAGTATTTTCTGGGGTGGGGAGGGGCAAATTAACCAATTAACTAAATTGTCCCTGAAAATTTTAAGATCCCCAGATCTTGATCTGAGATCACAGGATCAGGAAGAAATCTCAGAAATAATCTAATGCAATCTCAATTTTTACAAAAGGTTCAAAAGGGGATTCTCCAGAACACAGAGCTCTTCAGTGTCACAGCGAGCCCTTCAGATTACATGTACTGACTCCCAAACGTAAACGTAACAATCGAATCATTTCTTTACCAACACGAAAATAATTGTTTACATTTAACTAAACCATCCCACTACCAAAGCTCTGTTGTCTCTGTAAGCAAGTATAGTTTTAGAAGAAAAGAGAATTCATCAATAAAGTACACAGAGTAAAAATGAAACATAAATAAGCAGCAAATCTTTAAGTAATAACTTTCCTCCTTTAGCAGAATCTCAATTTATACAGAATATTCATTATTTTTCCACAAGAAATTTTATTTTAATAAGTTAAAATTTACTTCTGATATCTTATTAACATACCATATCCTTCCTTATCAATCCCTAAATAAAAGCACAACCCCCCTAAAACAATCTCTTAAACAAACACACTACTTTCCAAAATAAGAACTATTAAAAGTTAAACTGTACATGTTTACCTCATTGTTGGTATAATGCAGATCCATAGACTGTCCAAAGGCAATTTTAGCTTTAGACCTCAGATCTTCCAGTTTAACTGGTCTGGGGAACTGAAGGATTCTACATGGACAGAATTTTAATATATTTTATTTTCTTAGGCATGGTTAAATAACATACTTCCAACAGTTACCTCTTGGATAGAGAAATACAAAATTAAGTTAAAATGTAAACACTCACTCTACTTGAATACTACAATGGCCAATTTTTGATCAAGTGCACTAAACCTCAAAATAAAGTTTTAAAACTCTGAAGTTCGTTCTATTCTAATAAAAACTATAAAAAGGAATTCTCAAAATGTTCTGCCATTTATAATTTGCAGTGCAAGTGTTATATGAACACTAAAGAGCAATATAAAATGTTCACTGAGGAAAACAATTAAATTTTAACATGTGATACCCATACAATGAAATGCAATGAAACTGTAAGAAAATAAAGTCATTCCTTGAGGATGTAAATTTAGATTACTGCACCCTCATCAACTCGACATTTTTTAATACATATATATCATGTAAGAATATTCCCTCCCCACCTGAGTATTTTTAATGGGTTAAAATTTTTTAATTCTAGGATTTTCTTCTAACATCACAATGAATCGAACTGTGTTGCCCCTGGGGACCATGCACCTAAACTTAGAGACCACTCCATTACTAAGTTTTTTAAGGGGAGGAGCTGTGACTGTTTCACTCACTTTATTCCCTTCAGAGGCCAGCATATATAGTAGGTACTCAAAAAATAGTGTTCAATGAATGAAAAAGGAAATCGAGAAAATATCCATAAAAGAACTGTAAACAGGAAAAAAGTAGATTGGACAATACTTGAATGGTACATCTTCAGGTTATATGATTTGTGAGCCTTTTTAAAGTCCTTAAAATGGACAGCTCTTTCATTAAGTTGATTTAACAGGACAGTCATAGTAGAAACACAATCCCATCTTCTCTAACTCCTATTAGGTCTCGTTAGCAATTCTGCTGTCAGCCACCACCCTGCATTTCCCCCATTCCACTCAGACAGAGATACCAGCTAAAGGCCAGGCTTCCACCTCTGCTAAATCACTTACAGCCACCATTTCAACTCACTTCCTCAATGTTATTAATTAAATACAGGTCATATGATTGAAGTCTCTTGAGAATAATCAAAATTGTGAATGTTAAGTCTACATACCTAAGTTCTGTATCTGAAGGGATGATACAATTATGATAAGGAGAAATATATTTCATTTCCACTGAGTAAAAATAAAAGATGGTAATATTTAAAACTGCATTATGCAATGACCTTACTTATGCCCTAATATTGCAAAGTAAAAATATTAATCATTTCTGAGGTTAAGCCTAAATTTTGAGAGATTCTATCTTAAGCCCAAGTACATGTTATAGTTATCAAGGACTATTCATTCTCAATTTGCAAGCCATAAACCTTCAGTAAATCTAAAAAGAACCTCTAATGGTCTTAACTAGGACATGCATTTGATTAAATAAACAAACTTGATGTAATGTTTCTTTCCTTACCTTTTTTCTCCTCTGTGTTCGAATTTGACTCGGACATCATTCTGTAATGAAATGATTAATCATTTCAGAAATCTGACAAAATTTCCAGAATTTCTAAATCATTTTCCTAGTCATTCATTTAAAGCAGAGCAGAGGGTAAGAAGGTTCCATTTTCAGTGTCAACTCCAATCAACTGACAGTGTCTACCAGTGAGTTGAGAATTAGTTTGCTAAATCTGGACTCAACAGGAAGGAGCACCAAGACCCGTCAGTGGTAGCACCATGGGTATGAGGCATCTGCTAACTCTGATGGAGGGAAATATAGAACACTCTGTTCCCACTTTTCATGTCAGACATCCCAAACAAGTTCTACTTACAATAATCAAAATGATCTCCATTTGTAAATACACAGAATAACAGACTATTTAAAATAAAAACAGTTTGCTTATCTTACGCTCCTTAATAATGGATAAAATACCAGCTTTAGAGAGAAATTACCACATTAAATGAAACTACCATTTTTTAGGACAGATACCTTATGGAAAAATGTATGACAAAATATTTGATCCAAAAGCTTATAAGGTAATCACTTCAAACAAACCCTCTACATGATTAGGATACTCAAAAAAAATAATTCACAGAACAACAATATACATTTACTAAAACATTACTGGGACAAATACCTGCTTTTTTGGTGATGAAGATTTTGTTTTTCTGGTTTCCTGTAAGGATAATGCTGGTCGGCTGGCCTTATGAAGAACAGCCAAATCTTGCATGATTGAGTTCAAAGCTTGCTGATCATCTAGGGATTTGTTCAATAATATATACAGAAAATTGTAATTTCAATATGTATTTATCATAGACATCAAACACAAAATTTATAATAAAATTTAATGCAAAAATGCATCTAGAACATTTTCAATGCCTACATTTCTGTTATTTTGGTGAAATGAAATTTAACTATCTAAAAACTAAAGACAAGTAACATTAAAATTGCACTGGACTCAAGGACTTGCATCACACTAGGTGTTCACATGAGACATTTATAAGGCAAACAAAGCCATTCTGATTCTTCTAATGATGTAACATCCTAGGATTAGGCAAAACAGCCCTGTTAAAGTCAGGCTTTCTGAACACTGTGGTGTTAGATGAGACATCCTAAATACATCTTCAGTTCTCAAATCGTCATTAAAAGCCTCTTACTTGAACCCAAACCAAAGTACTATCATTGCCTCTTTTCTACCAGTTCAGGAACAACAGATCACCAGTTCAGACTTCTCACAGGGATGGAGGATCGTTCGCCTACCTTGTAATAATAATGCAACTCAGTGCTTTTTTTTTAAAAAACTGGATTTGAAAGATTGGATCGTATACGTGACAATAAGGAGTGAGCCACTTTTTCTGGGCACCCTATAGTTTTATAGTTCTTAATTTAAACTTAAAATTTTATATTTCTTCCTTTTGGGAAAAAAAAACAAAACTCCAAGCTGCCGTATGCACAGACACAGTGAGTTGGGTCAGCGCTCCCACAGACTCTGAGGTGTATTACAAGAATCCCAGCCAATTAGCATCTTCCTCCTGAGTTATTTTGAAATGGTTTTTTTTTTTTTTTGTACATTTTGGCTGCAGTATTGGTGGTAGAATATACTATAATATGGATCATCTCTACTTCTGTATTTATTTATTTATTACTAGACCTCAGCCACAGTCTTCTTTTCCCCTTTCCACCTCTCTTTGCCTGTAGGATGTACTGTATGTAGTCATGCACTTTGTATTAATATATTAGAAATCTACAAATCTGTTTTGTACTTTTTATACTGTTGGATACTTATAATCAAAACTTTTACTAGGGTATTGAATAAATTTAGTCTTATTAGAAAAAAAAAAACAGCCCTGTTAAGATAAACTCTTTTATATGACTCCTAAATAAAACATCAACAAGACAGCTAAAAAGATGGGGGGAAGGGTAAGGTACAGCTCAGTGGTAGAGTGTGTGCTTAACATGCACAAGGTCCTGGATTCAATCTCCAGTACCACCATTAAAAAATAAATAAATAAACCTAATTCCCCCCTCCAAAATAAAACAAATGGGGAAAAATAAACAATTTCCATGAATTCTAAAAATTTCTATAAATACCATCATTATTTAATATTTATGTTCAAAGTATGAAATTTCCTTTAGAGTTCTTCTCTTTCATCGGTACTTTAAGTTAGAAACAAAGAAAAGCTTTGTCTGTAGATAATAGCCTACTGGTATTTGGAAGCTTTTTTTTTAACTTCTTCACCATAAAGTTCAACAAGACTACATTAACAGACTATTTAATGATCTCAGCCACTAACAGCTTAAAAGGTAACAATGCAAGAAAAATCCCTTCCTTAGAAAAAAGTACTGAATCCATAAAATTCAATGAAAGGATCATGAACCATGAACTCCTAAGCTCTTTCAAATATATTAAAGATTTCTCTCTAAGACTATAAAGGTAAGACTCCTAGTAATGCTTCAGAGACAATTTAATTGATTTTCACTAGTAAACAAATTCACCTAGTGGTAATCAACAATCGGTAAAGGAACTGAGCGACTTAACAGCTTACACTTAAAAATATAACCATTTTGGTGAACAATAATTTACATTCGGAGTAGTAGTAACTAAAACACGCTTTACCTTGTAAGGGGAGATCATTAAAAAGAATTTGGCAAGTCAGTGGCTTCATCCGTCTTTCAAATGCACACATAGCTGACTTCTCTTATGTGCTCATTTTTTTGTAACACTCAATATATTCTGTTCCACAGTGGAACTACTTGCGTACTAAATTTAAAATAATAGCTCCAAAGGTTTTGTTAGTAAATTCCAGGTCTAGAGAATATCATAATCTTTCACAAAGTATCCTTTGTAAAGTAAAATGTCAACAAAATATTAGCTTAGCTAAACAGTAACTGAGTCAGTTGGGTATAACGTAATCACAATATGTGCAGTGTACATGGGTTCAAGCCAGACTGTCATTTATTATAAAAATAAATCTTTCCTGAGGAAAAGAACAAGCCAAAAATGATCTCAATTGGAATAAAATTCTCTGATGTAAACTTGAGAAAAGTAAAATCCTTAGCTCTACACTGGGGATGGGGGAGCTCTAATACTTAAACATATCTATGTTCTAATTATTTTCTTCATTAAATACTTGAATTTAGATATTTTTATATTTAATGTTTAACATTACATGTTTAATATTACAACACCAAAATAAATGCCTCGAAAAGCTTGGCTTAAATCTCTCATCACATTTATGTATACTAATTTCCTTGTTAAAAAAAAAATGAGCACCATTTTCTACAGGATGTGTTTGTTAAAAAGTAAAGAGGGCCACTTGAATAAAGTAACTTCTTATGGAGATGACATACAACTGAAGGGCTACTTAACTGAGTGCTCTTTTTCTGGATTGACAAAGAATCAGATGGTAGGTAAATACCCAACAGGAAATTTACTTTTGACAAGACATAAGCTAACAAATCCCAAAAGATCAAGCAAAGTGGTGAACACACACAAGCACTGTTCTAACAATTCTTAGACTCTTTTACTCCATTAAGCACCTCTGTAGTGGTTACAGGCAGAGGAAGATTACACAGGTTATAAATGTCATGAGGGTCACAAGTCGACCCAAATGGCAGTGAGGATGCCCACAGGATCCTGGAGTCTGACCAACAGTCACCTAGAAGCAGCAGTGGATTTCTGACACATGCTAAAAGGACATCTAGTTAAGCATAAAACCAGAAAATATTTGGAAAATAATTTCAAATTAAAAATTTATCAGAAATGTTTAATGTGGTACCTTATATGCTTATTCATTACCCTTAAAAAGTGTTTACAGGAGGAAATCCTCAATCAAAAATTCAAATCCCTGTGACTCATACTGTTAAATATTCATGGTTTTTTGTGGCTCCCTTTGCAAATGTTTTTAAGCAATGATTGTTCTTTGCTTTGTTGCATACTATAGTGAATTATTATTTGAGAAGTATAGTAGAAATCAATTTGATTAATACAGAGTTTAGACTGTGAGAGCCACAGAAATGAAAAGCTAATATGAATTCAGTAAAAGGATATCCAATTTGGAACTGGAGGTGAAGCTGACGAAAGTGAAGAATTTGGACCACAGGATGGCACTGCACTCATGGTTACAAAAAGAGAAAGTGGGAGAGAAATTCAGAAAGTAGGAAGGTGGAGCTTCAGCTTACACACTTGCCACAAGCAGACACTCTGAAAGTGTGCTAGCCCTTCCATTGAAGAACATGGACAGATTTAAGCTCTTTGGCCCTGACACCATGTATATACATATAAAAGTGAATAATACATTTGTTAAGAAAGTGGTAGGGAAAGTGTGACAAAAACAAACATTGGCAAATATATGTCATAGTTAAGATATCAAGATAAGATAATTGGTCTAAGTTTAAAAACTTAGCTTCCGACTACACAATCCATTTTCCCCCATTTAGGACAGGATGAGCCATTTGCTCCATTCCTTTCTAGTGTTTCCCTGTCCAATCTTTGCCTCACACTGGAATCGTCAACCCCAAGAAGAAGAAAAAAGAAAGAAAAGAAAGAAAGAATAGAAAGAATAGAAAGAAAGGAAGGAAGGAAGGAAAGAAAGAATGAAAGGAAGGAAGGAAGAAAGGAAGAGAAGAAAACAAAATAATACATAAACTGAACACCCAAAATCCACTCCCATCCTTCAGCCTCCATTTGTTAACATGATGACGCCACAGGAAATTCACAAGAGCTGTAAAACACGTCCTCCCTGAGCACCAATGATGTGCTGCTCTATTCTGTTATAGTTTTATGATTTACTATTTTTATGCTGTTTTCTTTAGTTTATATTATTACATTATTGAATAATTATAAAAATTTACTCATTATTTATTCAATCTTTTAAAAGTCAGATTTCTTTATCAAGTATTCTCTCTGGCCATCAGACTCCTAAGAAAATCACAATCCATCCTAACAGTTTATTTTGAATGTCCATACTATGCCCTGCATAAATTTGTTATTTCCAAACTATAAAATTTAAAAAAGTGTTTTAATTGAAAATCTATTAAGTAAATAAGAATAAAGCATAACATAAATCCATTATATCATAAAATTTCTTTTTTTTTCTTTTCATAAAATTTCTTCATAAAAAAAATAGACAATTTTTTCTCCCCCATTTTTATCCTTTATTTTTGAAAAATCCTTTTAGTGTGAACTCACCCATTATGGCAACCAGCTCAACAATTTGAAAATTAGGGAAATGATTCTCCCATCAGCATTCTTTATTGCCTAAGGGGGTAAAAAAATGAACAAGTTAATAATAAGAATGAGAAGAGGTAGGCACAAAAAGAAAAAAGTCAATATAAATAATGCTAACAAGAAATGTACAATATTAATACTTTACACACACTGCTGGGGAGAAGTGCTTTATTTTTCCCAGATACGCAATTATTGAGAATGAACTAAAAACCATCATGTTATATTATATTTACCTCAGTACTTCTCATGTTCCTTTCTATTTAAGGTAAGGGGAAAAAAACAATTTTGAGAGTCAAAAAGTTTAAGAGATAAATAAACTCAAGTTCCTACAGAGCAATGGCAGATATAAAGGGGAAAAGGTCATGTTTAGACACAAAAAGGAGGACATCAACAAAGTAGTATAAAGACCTATAAAAATTCTCTTCTTTCATAAAAGAGACAATTACCAAAATTGACAAAGAGGAATTAACCAAAGGCTTCCAGCAATCAGGGCAGCATCCAAGAGTCTCAGTGAAGAGAGCCTCGCGGGATTCTGACCTTCCCTATTCCTATCTTCCTACTCCTTACTCCAAGCTCCGAAGTGGCAATGTAAACTGACGGCCCACAGTCACCACGAAAATAAGCAGCCTAGCAACCACTGGAGAGGGAAGAATGCAACTGGAATGTCTTCTAGGTCTGATTCCCAAGACTCATAGATAATTTGACCTATCTAAATGATTGGCTAATAGACCACATTATTTAACCTGACTCAAAGCTCTTCCAGTCCAAAAAGTTTGGGGAGTTTGGGGTACTTGCTGAAATCAATTAAGGACAACTATCACATATCTCAACTGTCTGAGGAAGGGGAAAACAGTTGGGGCAAGCAACAGGTTAAGAAAAAAATTTTTTTAGAAAAGCTGAGGAATAAAATGTCATTAGGGAACTTTGAAAAGCTCCAAAAAATTCCTGGGAATCTAGAAATCACACAAATGCCCAGGGCTGTTGCATACTCAAGAAAGATCTAAGGAGGCTCTCGACTTTCACCTCTAGGTAAACTTGAGCCTCTGTGCAGCAGTAAGTGGAGGATAAGGTAGAGTTGTAAATGCTCCAACACACACACACACACAGAAAACCTCTCAAAAAAGACTCTGAGATTTATTGGTTCCAAACATCTAAAGGAATCTCTGTCTATTCTTTGGGTAACAACTAAACTGAGCAGTCTTCGGTGACAATCACAACAAATACTGACTTTAAAAAACAAGTTCTGAAAAGTCACTAAACAAATAAATAAGAACAATAAACAACACACACTGGGGAGGGAGGAGAATCTGATTTCCATAGGTGGCACATTATAATATTTTAAACATTCAGTTTTCATGAAAAAAAAAATAAAATGAGAAATACAAAGATGTGAGTCCACATACAGAGAAAAAGCAATCAAAAGAATGACCCTGAGGAAGCCCAAATGGTGGGCAAACTAGACAAAGACATAAAATCAGTTATCTTAAATATGTTCAAAGAACTAATAAAGCCATGTCTAAAGAACTTAAGAACATACGAGAAAGCTGTCTCACGAAACAGTATCAATTAGGAAACAAAAATTAGAAAAAGGAACAAAATAGAAATTTTGAAGTTGGAAAGTACAATAGCTGAAACCATCAGGCACACCAACAAATGCAAAATAGAAGTCCCAGAAAGAAAAAAGAGGGCAGAAAGACTATTTCAAGAAACAGTGGCTAAGGCGGGAGGTATGTATAGCTCAGTGGTAGAGCGCATGCCTATAGCACGCATGAGGCCCTGGGTTGAATCCTCAGTACCTCCATTAATAATAGTAATAATAATAATAGTAGTAGTAGTAATAATAATAATAAATAGTAATAATAGTAATAATAATAATAAAAATAGTAATAATAATAGTAATAATAATTACCTCTAACTCCTACCCTCCTCCAAAAAAAGAAAGAATGGCCAAAAATGTTCCAATTTGGTGAAAAACAATCTGCACATTCAAGAAGCACATTAAACTCCAACAGAAGGATAAAATGAAAGTGATCCACATATAAACATATCATAATAAAACTGCTGAAAGACAAAGGATCTTGAGAGCAGCAAGAGAGAAGGAATTCACTATGTACAAACGATACTCAATTGATTTCTCACTGGTAACCGAGAAGGCCAGAAGCCAATGGGATGGCATATTCAAAGTGCTGAAGGAAAAAGACTGTCAACCAAGAATCCTACATACTGCAAAACTGAAGACACAAATAAGACATTCCTAGATAAACAAACACAGAGAATTCATCACAACCAGACTTGCCCTACATGAAATACTAAAGGAGTCCTTCAGGCTGAAATTAATGGACACTAGACAGTAATTCTCACATACATGCAGAAAGAACACCAGGAAGAGTAATCACATAAGTAAAGATAAAACACTGCATAAATGTGTTTTTTGTTTCTAACTGTATTTCTCCTATCTGACTGTGGTAGGCACAAAACTGGCCCACCCTAAAGATGTCCACATCCTAATTCCTAGGCCTTTTGCGTGTATATTATCTTACATGGCGAAAGAGACATTGCAGATGTAATTTAAGAAATTTAAGATGAGATGGCTGGACCCAACATAATCACAGGGATCCTTACAAATGAAAGGAACAAGCAGGAAAGTGAGTGTCAGAGTAACACTGTTTAAGAGACTTGGTCAGTCACTGCTGGCCCTGAGGATGGAATGGGGTGGCCATGACTCAATAAATGCAGGCAACTGACAGAAGGTGGAAAAGGAAAGAAAATGGACTTTCCCTTAGAGCCTCAGTAAAGAACAGGAATGATGACACCACGATTTTAGTTCAGTGACACTAATTTCAGTCTTCTGATTTCCAAAACTGTACGATAAAAAATTTACGTTGTTTAAATACACCAAATTCGTGGTAATCTGTTACAGCAGTACGTAGGGAGTAATTAAGACCATCCCCAGTTTCAAGGACTTGCTAGAGGACTCACAGGACTCAGGAACAGAGTTGTACTGACAGCTATAATTTATTATGACAAAAAGATACAAAGCAAAATCAGCAAAAGAAAAATGCACATGGGGCAAAGCCCAGAGGAGCCCAAAGCAATCACTTAAGAATCCTTTCTCAGTAGAGTCACATAGGATACACTTAATTCCCTTCAGCAATGAGTTTTGACAACACGTGAAATGTCACTTACCAGGAAAGATTAGAGACTGAGCACCCAGGCTTTTTATTAGGGGCTAATCACATAGATACCCTCTGTCTTGCAGATACCAAAACTGCAGATTCTCAAATAAAAAGCAAGAGTTCACCATAAACTACTTTGTTTGTATAAGCACCTTAGGCACAGTAACTTTTTTTTGTCTTTTTTTTTTCTTGAGGGGGCAATTAGATTTATTCATTTATTTATTTTTAGAGGAGATACTGGGGATTGAACCCAGGACCTCATACACGCTAAGCATGCACTCCACCACTTGAGCTATACCCTCCCCCACAACACACAATAAGTTATTCTTATCTGTTAGGCAGGTGGGAACCTTCCTGAAATCCAAATTCTCAGATGCCATCCAAGGGCAGATCTCACAAGCAGTTCATTCTATGGATAAGCAGTAAGGCCTCCTATGTTAACTCTTTTCTACATAAGCAGCAACAGGAACCTAGTACACAAGTTTAAAAAAAACTGCATAAAGCAATAATCTTAAGCATACTGTTGGGCATACGATATATAAACATACTTTGTATAACAATAATGGCACAAAGGAAAGAAGAGGGACGGAGTCAAACAAAAGAAAAGTTCTGTATACCACTATAATTAAGTGAGTATTAAACTCAAGCTACATTGTTCTGAGATCTTAATTTTAATCCCCAGGTAAATGACTAAAGTTAAAAATTTTTTAAATGGCAAAAGAAACAAGAGAATTAAAATAGCACACTAGAAAATATCTACTTAACACAAAGAAGGCAGTAATGGAGGAATAAGGAACAAAAAAGATATAATACACATAGAACACAAATATAAAACGGCAGAATAATTCTAGCATACGTGTAATTATATTAAATATAAGATGGAAGGAACAAACCAGTTAAAAGGCAGAGATTAACAGAACAGACTTTAAAACATATCTAATTATATGCTGTGTACATCAGACACATTTCAGATTCAAAGATAAGATAGGCGGAAAGTAAAAGACTGGAAAAAGATATACCATGTAAACAGTAGCCGAAAGAGACCTGAAGTCGCGACACTAATAGCAAACAAAATAGAATATAATACAAAATTGTTATTAGAGACAAAGAAGGACATTTATAGTGAAAAAAAATGCCCAACTTAGCAACAAGATATAGTAATTAGAAACATGTATGCATCTAACAACAGACTCTCAAATGAAAAAAAAGAATTGAAATAGACAACTCAAATAGTTGGAGATTTCAATGCCTTATCTTCAATAATGGATAAAACAAGTAGACAAAAAAATCAAAGAGAAAACAAAGATGTAAATAATGCTATAAAACTACTAAACTTAATTAATAAATATCTATAGAACACACAACCCGAGAACAGAAGAATACACATTTTTCTCAAATGCATGTACAACATTTTCCAGGACAGATCACACATTATGTAGTAAAACTTATCTCAGTTAAGTTTAGATTTAAGTCATATGAAGTATGTTGCCTGACAACAATGCAATGAAATTACAATTTTGTAACAGAAGGAAATCTGGAAAAATCACAAATATGGGAAAATTAGACAAAGCACTCCTAAAGAACCAATGGGACAAAAAAGAAGTCACAAGGGAAATTAGAAAATGCTTTGAGATGAATGAAAATAAAAAAAAAAAATACTGAACTTACTGGATACACCTAATGTACAACCTAGAGAGAAATTTGTAACTGTAAATATTTATATTAAAAAACAAGCAAGATCTCAACTCAATAACACAACCTTCTACCTTACGACACTGAAAAAAATAAGAACATATTAAATCCAAAGCAAGCAAAAGAAAGGAAACAGTAAGGATTAGAGTGGAAACAAACTAGAAAATAAAAATAAAATAGAAAAATTTTAAATCAATGGAACAAAAAGTTGGTTCTTTGAAAAGATCAATAAAACTGACAAATTTTTAGCTAGATTAACCAAGAAAAAAAGAGGGAAGATACAAATAACTAAGCTCAGGAATTAAAGGAGAATTACTACTAACCTTACAAAAATAAAAAGGATGAGGGAATACTATGAACAACTGCACATCAACAAATTAGATCACCTGGATGAAATAAATTGCATTAGAAATAAAAAGCTTCTCACAAACAAAAAGACCTACAGAAAATGGCTTAAAACATTTAAGGAAGAATTACCACCAATATATATATTTTTTTAAGAGCAAGAAAGAGAGATTACTAAACCCAGTAGTACTCTGATAACCAAACCAAAGACATTACAAGAAGAAAAATTACGGATCAACATCCTTGCAAATATAGAAAAATTCTCAACAAAACACTAGCAACCTAATCAAGAACATTAAAAAAGAGGATTATACATCATGAACATGTAGAATATATCCCAAAAAAGGTAGGTTCAGCATACAAAAGTCAATGTAATAAACCACACTTACAGAATAAAAGCAAAAAAAAAAAAAAAAACAATGATCATCTCAACAGACATAGAAAATGCAAGTGCTAAAATCTGCCTTTATACTCAGAAGGCTAAGAGAAGGGATTTCCTCCAGTTGATAAAGGGCACCCATGAAAAACCCACAGCTAACATCATACTTAACGATGAAAAACCAAACATGTCCCCGCTAAGATCAGAGACAAGGATGTCCAGTCTTGCTGCTCATTTTTAATACTGTATTGGAGGTTCCAGACAGAATATGAGGCAAGAAAATGAAATAAAAGGAATCTAGACTGGGTAAGAAGTAAAACTATCCCAATTCACAGGTGACAGTCTTATATACAGAAAACCTAAGAAGCTCACAAAAACAATCTTAGAGCTAATGTATGAATTCAGGGCAGTTGCAGGATACTAGATCAACACTCAAAAATTAACTGTATTTCTATACACTGACAATGAACAATACAGAAATGAAATTCAGAAATAAATTTCATTTATAACAGCATCAAAATAATAAAGCACTTAGGAATATATTTAACAAAAAATAAACAAGTCTTGTACACTAAAAACTATAAAGCACTGAAAGAAATTGAAACAGTTCTAAACATACAGAAAGATATCCCATGTTTATGGACTGGAAGAAAATATTTTTAAGATGGCAAACTCTCAAAGTGATCTACAGATTCAATGCAATCTCTATCAAAATTCCAATGGCCTTTCTTGGCAGAAATGGAAACGCTGATCTTTCAATTCATAAAGAACTACAAGGGGCCCTGAATAGCCAAAACAATAATAAAAAAGAAAAATAAAGTTGGAAGACTCACACTTCCTAATTTTAAAAATGACTACAAAGTTATAGCAATCAAAACAGTGTAAGTACTGACCTAAGGATAGAGACTGGTAGAATAGAACTGAGAGTCCAGAAATAACCCAAACATCTACAGTCAAATGGTTTTTGACGAAGCTGCCAAGATAATGGTCTTCAATAAATGGTGCTGTACAACTGGATATCCACATGCTAAAGCAACAGGTTGGACCCCTACATCACACAATATACAAAAATTAATTCAAAAATGGATCAAAGACTAAATGGAAAAGCCAAATCTAGAAAACTCTTAGAAGGGAATAGAGTTATAAAAGCCTTCATGACCTTAGACAATAGTTTCTTAAATGGAATACCAAAAGCAGCAGCAAGTGAAAAAATAAGCTGGACTTCATTGAAATTAAATTATTTTATGCATCAAAGGACACCAACAGGAGAGTGAGAAGACAACCCAAAGAACGGCAGAAAATATTTGAAAATTATATATCTGATAAGGGTCTAGTATACAGAAGGTATGAAGAACTATTACAACTCAATAATAATAATAATAAGACAACTAATCCATTTATAAAATGAACAAAGGATTTCAAAAGACAGTCCTCCAAAGAAGATACAAAAACAGTCAATAAGCACTTGGCCAAGAAGACGCTTAATACAATTAGTCATCAGGGAAATGAAACAGATACAGTTGTGTACACACACACACGTTTATACCTATATATGTTTTATAGCTTTGTCTACTGAGACCTGGAAGCAGTGACATCCTCCTCACAATGAATGCACCCACAAGATGTTGGTTTCTAAATACCAATATTCACTAAGAAGAATGAGGGCTCCTTAAAAATATGGATGTATGTGCAAGATGAGCCTGGAACATCTTACTGTGTCAGAAAGAAAGTATACAAAGAATCACAAGACATGTCAAAAGGACACAAGAACCACCTTGAAGGAGCTCGCACTAGCTAAATATGGGACAATTTGAGCTTCAAAACAAATAATTGATAGATTACAACAACCCACTGAATAAAAAAGGAATCCATGAGTACACAGAGACATTACTGAAAAATGAATCAACAAATGGGAGCGTGGGTGCTTGAATGTAAAGTAATGAATTACAATAACATAATGAAATTACAAGATCATTATTTGGCATTCATGAATAGTAATAATTTGGCCAAGAAAAATCAATGAATGGTGAAACTAGTGGGTGAAGTGATGAGGCATGAGACACTCAGTCTTAAAATACCTTCCCCCAAATATTTAGTAATTATAAAGGAAAAAAGTACCTTTTTTTTAGTGTGGAAATCTGGCAGGAAACTTAGTCAAATGATCAATATTAAGATCACCAGTAATGGGCAAATTAAAATCAGTCACACCTGATAGGATGCATGGCAAAAACTAACACATCACCTCTATGATATTCCTGCCAAAAATATGTAACCTAAATTGAATCACAGGGGAAGCATTAGACAAACCCCAACTGATGAATATTTTGAAAGTTAACTACTCTACAAACTTCAAAACTGTGAAGATGATGAAAG